CTGTGAAAGCTTTATAGAATGTGTAGAATGTGTAGAATGTGTAGAATGTGTAGAATGTGTAGAATGTGTAGAATGTGTAGAATGTGTAGAATGTGTAGAATGTGTAGAATGTGTAGAATGTGTAGAATGTGTAGAATGTGTAGAATGTGTAGAATGTGTAGAATTTGTAGAATTTGTAGAATTTGTAATCGGGGGTTACATTTCCTTTCATCCCCTATTGTACTAATAAGGGGGCCTTAGTAATTTGTTAATTTTTTAGTAATTCGTTAAGTTTTTTTTTTTGATATGAAATTTTCCTAATAAATAGGATCAATTTTTTCTAATTTTTTATTTATAAAAAATAAAGATATTTTAAAATATACAAAATAATTATTAATTTAATTTAATTAGAAATATCTATTTATATTATTAAAAGAATTGAAATTATAAGAATTATTATTAAAAGTTACAAATTACTGAAAAGTTAACGAATTGCTAAGGCCTTTTTATCATAGATAAAGGGATGAATAAATATAAACCCCCGATTAGAATGTTTGAGACTTGAGGTTAGTTGGTGTAGAATTGAGAGGTGAAGAGGTGGAGAGATTGGGGGGAGAAGCTGAGAGGAGGAGAGGAGGGGGTTTGAAAGATCTGATCTGAGGTTTGAGAAATGAAGGAATGGGGAATAGGGAGTGGAGTGGAGTGGAGAGGTGAGGTGAGGTGAGGAGAGGTGAGGGAGTAAGAAGAGGATTTGTTGCATATCTACAATTTCTCGTATTTCTCTTTGTAACTAGAATGGCTGAGTCTTAGATTAGTATAGAATATTTGAAACCATCTGCAAGTCTAAACTAGGTAGGTGGAATCGATAGGCCGGCCGATCGAAAGAGGAAAAGTTGGGCAGCTTGGGAGGTAGGTTAGGGCTTAGAAAAATGAATACCTATAAAGATTTGAACATTTGAACATTTTGTTGCATATCGACAATTTCTCGTATTCTCATACATACCTAGCTACGTACTATACGAGTATTTAAGACTGAGATTCATTAGTATTGAGTTAGAGCAAGCTAGAGAGTTTAAGGGCGCGTTCGGATAGGAATGGTTTGGAACCCCAGTAATCTTAGGTAGGTAGGTATTTGAAAGAAAAATGAAAATGGAAAGGGTTTGTTGTATATCTATCTATCGTACAGATTTCGGTATTGTATTTCCGTGAAGATGTGGAAAAGGATTTGGAATTGAGGTTGAATTTGTGTGTGTAGGTATGTAGGTATGTAGGTAGAACTGGAATCAATAGATTAATCAGAGGTTGAGAAGAGAAGAGAAGAGAGATCTTAAGGTTACTGTATGTTTTTGCTTGTAAGATTATGTGGAATATCTGGGACGACCAAGGCCTAGGTAAGTCGAAATTAGTGGTAGGTAAAGTGAAGCTAGAGAAGCTGGGAAATCTAGTGTTTATTTGGACTTGGATTGGGGAATATGAAGATGGTTTTGTTGCAAGTCTAGAGATCTCGTATTTTTGTTGATGTATTGGTGATAGGATGTTTGAAGCTGACTAAGTGCAGTGTAGTATACCACCAGTGTACGAGTAAACGAAGCGGCTGAAAGGTGCGGAGATCTATGGATCTAGTTACTCGTGCGGTTGGAAAGTCTCGAGAAAGTATACGACAGTCCATCTGCATATGAGCTATAAATTATTTTGTGTTTTGTTATTTTGTGAAATATATCTTTTTTTCTGTAGAGGGAAATATTAACATATGGATTAAAAATATATACTACATTTTCAGACCTCTTTATTAAATTGAATAATTGTGATTATTTTTATTTATAAAATATATAAAATATATAAAATATATATATAAAATATATAAAATATATAAATATATAAAATATATAAAATATATAAAATATATAAAATATATAAAATATATAAAATATATAAAATATATAAATAAGACTATCCTCTATATAAAATATATAATAATCTCACAATATCCCCTCTATTCACTATCCCCCTTATCAAAATCCCCATCCTACGATTTCTCCCCAGTCCCTCATGATTTTAACCATTCAATTTCTCATATATTTTTTTCCCCAGATTTTTTCGATCTCGACGAGTTTTGCTGTGCTGGTTTTTCCTTATAAGTTAGTGTAGCCACCTAGTAGTGGAGTCGAGTATGATATGCTTCAACCCACGAATAGTCCATGGAAAATGAGAAAGACCACAAGCAAGTGAGAGGATTTGTTCATATCTTACAGATCTCGTATTCCCCCGTTTCTACGCAGAATGTGTGAGATAAAACGAAGCTAGAATTTAAGGTTAGAGTCGGTTGGAGAGGAGGAGGTTTGAGAGGGAGAGAGAGAGAGAGTTTGTTGCATATCGACAGATCTCGTATTTCCATCTACACGTATCAGGATGTTTGATATGCGAAATCAAAGTAGAATGAACAGGCTGGAAGAAGGAAAGCTGGGAAACTCGTGAGTGGGTTGGATTGTGATGGTTTCTGGCTAAGAGAGTCTCAAGATGTCTGGATGTCTCGATGGGGAATAGAGGGGAATTCGTGAGTTTGTTGCATATCTACATCTCTCGGTATGGCCGTTTAGGTTGTTTGAGAATCGGGATTGGCTATGGATATGGATGGATGTATTAGACTAGACTCTAGACTCTAGAATTAAGAGACTGAGAAGCGGAGAAGGGATTATGTGGGTAGGAAGATGCATAGGATACAATTATAGAATTATCTCGAACAATCACAATCTAGCCCTCACAAAACAGAAAATGTAGATTTTGTTGCACATCTACATCTCTCGGTCTGTCCGTATACGTACGTACGTACGTTTGTTTGTAAGTACTGTACTGTAGGTCTGAGACGAAATTCGTTTAAGATGCTGAAAGGGGAGTTGTGAAACGTGGTGGTTGGTTGATGGGATGTGAGTACTAGGTGTGTAAGTGTGTTAGATATTGGGTTTGGGATGGAGAAATGGAGAAATTGAGAATGTAATAGAGCTCTTGTTGCATATCTACAATTCTCGGTATCTCCGTTGCATTTGGAATTTGGGTATGCAGAATGGAGAATGTGTGGGTTAGATTATTAGTTTACCTTTTGGAAAGCTAGAGAAGTCTCGAATAGGTGAGGTGGTGTGTTGAGTTGGATATAGTGCATCGTATTATGTAACAGCTAAGATACATACATAGGTACTCATTACAACCTCGTGGTTTGGTTTCGTCAGAGAAATACTAGGTAGAGAGAGAGTTTGTTGCATATCTACAAGTCTCGGTATGCCCGACCAGACACGCCACGAAGAGTTTCAGGAACGCTCATTGGTAAGTGGTTCATATTGAGTTTACGAGTCGAGATTACTCGGTGGATGTAATGTCTCGAGGATGGAATATTCGGTTATTGATTTATTTATCGATTTATCGATTCAATAGATTGATTGATTCAATAGATTTACGATATAGCTGGCTCTGACTCTGACTCTGGAAGAACATGAAGATCTGCCTCGTACAGCACAAGACGTCCGACCAACCTGTCTCATTTCCACTTTCGGACACGCCGATAGTTGGTGAGAGGAGTGTGATTGGTGGGTGCGCGCGGGGTTAGTAAGCGCGGTGCCGGGGGTGTTCAGGCTATTTCGTGGTTGTTGTTGTTGCTGCAGAAATCTGGTAATGATACTTCATACATTGGATACCTAGGAAATGAAGAATGGTCTGGGTGTTGATTGGTAAGAGATGGGAGATGCGATTTGGGAGAGGTTGGGAATGTTTTTGTTGCACGTCGTGGTGTTTCGGTCGTTCCGGTGGCGATTTTCTGTTTTCTTATAGGGGCTGGAGTCTTGACTCTCGAGGGAAATTAATGTGTGCTTGGTTGGTGCCACTGTGGCGAGAAGAGACGACGCGAGAATAGATGAGAGGTTTATGTTCACTTCGTTCATTTGTTGTCGCGTTTTCATGATGTTGATGGGATATCAGGATTAAAATTGGACTCATTGTGAGTTACTATTGGGGATGCTGATGATGGTTGATCATAAAATGTATTCCGCGCGCGAACCTAGATACTATCTCTTTGCTTTGTCTTTTTTGCTCTATTCATATCAAATTCCTCGAGGAGGGATTCTGCTTCATATCTCGACACAAGTAGTGATGGGTCACTTCGTGCTATGAACCCCAGGTGGTGAATGGTATAATGCAGTTGCCATTTATGCAACTGATCTTCTCACGAGGGTTTTATTGCGAATTTTACTGCAGATCTCGAATTGGTGGTGCTAGCTGGATTGGTCTTGTGGATTGGGATAGCATGGTTGCTATGGTTAGTGCTGCTTGAGTGTGGATTTTGTTGCATGTCTGAGGGGTGGCGTTGGGTTATGTGGGGAGGAGGGTGGGAGGGTGTGTAGGTATGCTTGGTGTGGTGTGGTATGGTTCTCCACTTTTGATGGAGGGGTAGAGGGAGGGGGAGTTGATGGTTGATAGTTGATAGTTGATATTGGCTGATGGGGGTATGGAGGAGGTGAATGGTTATGACAAAGTTATGGGGGAGTGGAGTGGTCGGGGGAGGAAGAAAGAATGTGAGAGTTTGAGAAAAGATACACGCAGTTTTCCTATAACAGATCGGTGATAATCGACTATCAGTGTAGTCCGATTATCACTCTTCAGAATGAAGACATAGGTAAGGCAGATACACAATAACGCGACGCACATTGGTAAAATCATTGAAGTAGTATTCAGTGATACTTTGTTAAGTTTATCCGTTTGTAATGTAAAAACACGAGCCCAGCTTAATATCCATCCATCATTAACACCCCAATACTGCCAGACATAATCAGATACATACCCAGTACGTATAGATCTTCATGGTTGTGACGATTATATGTAATACTATATCAGTCTTGACGTAGTAATAGTACTGATAGGTCTGCATTCGGGGTCAAGCGATCCGCGTATGTTTTTGAATTTGCTCGGTTTGAAAAAGGAAAGGATAAAGAGTAATGACATGAATAAGTAAAGGAAATACCGGTACATACATACACTTAGTCTTCAAGAGCGTCAGCGACACCTGCCGCTGCTTTGCAAAGCAATCTTCCGGCATCGGCTCCAGCTTTTCCAACAACGGCCCCTACTCGAACACAATCCTTGACTCGAGCCTTTCCAGATGCTCTGATTCGAGAGCTTCTCGAAAAAATATTTTTGGCTCTGTCTTTGAAGTTGGAGCGTTCTTTTGCGGTTGGTGTGTTGTTTATGGGTGTGTTGTTTATGGATGGGTTCTTGTTTTCATTGTGTTTAGATCGAGAGTGTTTTGTTGCAGCAGGGTTATTGTTTATGGATGAGTGCCTGTTTCCAGTGTGTCGTGCTATGTTTTCTATTGTTAAAGCATGCGTTGAGGCTGGAGGATGGCTTCGACCGCGGCTTGAAGAGCGACGCTCAGGTGGATTAGGATTGCGGTGACGGAGATGGCGATGGCGATGGTGAGATTTGCGAGGTGGTGGAAATGATGGTGATGACGATGGTGGTGATGGTGGTGGTAATGATGGTGGTGGTGAATTGTGTTCAATTTTGGTTCTTGGTAGAGTATTGGTGTCATAAGGCGAAGATGGAGCAGGGTGGCGACGACGAGATGGAGCAGGGCGGCGATGACGATCAGGAAGAGGGAGGGACTGAGTAGATTGAGGAGTCGGATGGGGTTGAGGAAATCGGGGAGACCGAGGTCGTTGGGAGGATTGAGAGGATAGAGAGGATACAGAGGATGGAGCAGGTCGATGAAGCTGAGGCCCAGAAGACCGAGGTGGTCGGGAGGATTGAGAGGATACAGAGGATGGAGCAAGTCGATGAAGCTGAGGCCCAGAAGGCCTGTTTCGCAGTAACGGTATTGGAGGACTACTTCCTTTCCGATCACGAAGAGGTACAACAGGATAATCTTTTGACTGATACGTAGATTCTAATACCCATCTCCGGGTATCTTCTCTTTGAACATCAAAGCCACGTTCCCAGGCACTAATCAAACGAAAGGGTTGATTTTCCTCTCCTAGTCCTTCTCCTTCTCGATACCTGTAATTCTCGCGCAATGTTTCTCCCTCCTGTCTGAGGTTCTCTCGTTTCAAATTGTTTCGCTGTCGTACCCTTTCTTCCTCTCGGTTTCTCTTTTGTAATCTTTGTCTCGGTGGTGGTGGTGATGCTGCTCTTGTTCTGGATATTTCTCTGTGTGGTCTTCGTGGTTTTCTTTCTTCTTCTCGTTCCCGATCATGTTGATACCACCCACCATTTCCTTCTATCGCTAGTACTCTCCTTTCCTCTTGTACTTCGTCTTCCTCTCCTGATTTTCTTTCCGATATTTCTCTACGTCTCGCCTCCTCGTATCTATATCTACCCACGAGTTCCTTTCTGTGATCTTCAGCACGAATTCGTTCTCTTTCTTTGCGAGAGTTTGCAGACTCCTTGGTTTCTCTTCTTGCCTGTCGTCCTCTGGAAGTAAGGTACTTTCCGAGAACATTTCTCGATTCTCTTACTCTTCCATAATCGTAGCGTGATGGATATAAATCTGAAGTTGCAGCGACCGATTCTGCATTTGACGGCGGAGAATACGAAATAGTTGATTGTTGGCTCACAGATTGATACGAAGAGGCGGGTCTACTGTTATAGCTTGCGCGACTTTGTCTCGACATTTTGATATTGATATTGATGTTGATGTTGATGTTGGCTTGAATCTTTAAGTTGAGGGGAAGTGTGATGTGGTGGTTGAAAGAGGTCAAAATTAAAAGCTCAAATGTGGGAAATCCAATACACGATCCAAGAGAATGGTGAAATGAGTCGTTGAATTATGCTCGAGTCATATCTATGATTCCCAGTCATACCTCGTAATGAATAATTTGGATCGCAAGGAATATTGAGGACTCATATTTGATGACTCAAGGCGGATTTTTCTTTTTGGCCGAAGCTTCTGCATACCCTTCGATACTGTTAGTTCGATCATGTTTTTGATTTCGAGGTTGATGAGGAGTTACAAAAGTTGGGAGTTGATCATATTCAAAGATTACAGCCGGATGTTTTCTATCTATTTCTTCTACTATTAGAACTGTTCCATCTTGCTCGAGGGATTATTGTGGGCGTATGCACATGCGCACACTACCGGTACAAAGCATCTTAATTCACGGGATATGGGGTAAGTCACGGGTAACACTGTATTAGGCCAAATCGGTTTTAGCGTATCTGTATGTCCTAATCAATTGGAATTCTATACGGCAACGCAGAAATAACATCTCCCATTACGGACTCCAGTTACGGCGAAGGTAACAGTAACAGCAACAGCAGCTTGACAATATGGCCAATCCTCGATCCATGCACTTCTCTGATAAGTTTGCCATCAGCTGCGGTACCGTTACGCTCGATCTACAAGCCCGAAAAGTCCTCATCATATTATGGCGCAAAAATGGTGAATACATGATCCCCAAAGGTCGCAAGGACATCGGCGAAGGGCTCGAGACGACGGCCGTGCGTGAGACATTCGAAGAAACCGGCTTTCAGTGCCAGCTGCTACCTCATTCATTTCCCACGCTTGCAACGACGGATCCTGTCGAAAAAACCGGCGACGTCGGACAATCAACTGAGCCATTCGCGGTAACTCAGCGCACCACAGACGGAAAGTTAAAGATCATTTTCTGGTACTTGGCACAGGCAGACTCCACGGCGCCGAAGATACATGATACACAGATGGAGGACGAGGATTTTGATACGGTTTGGGTTGAGGAGGCGAAGGTGCTTGAGAAATTGACATATGATGAGGACCGAGCAATCACGAGCAAGGCGATGGAATATTGGAAGGGGCTTTAGGAAAGAGGCTCTAGCTTGTTTTGTCTGTCGTGTGTTGATAAACAATTCCACTTTCCAACTTCTATGCCAGTGTGAGGTTCGTATCGATATAGCACGGCGTGTGAGCTCTCCTAGTATTATTCGAATTTGATGAAGCCAAGATCCACCTATGTCATGTTTACAACGTTCAACGTGTAACAAAGCCGTAACAAACTCCTCTTTCATTCCTCAGTTGGTAGCCAAATTCTCGAAGCAAAATGCCAGATACTTGACTCCTTTACCTCGCAGGGCTCGAATATCGAGACTTGGATTAAGTGACACTTGAGGTCCAAGGGTCTGAAAGGAAGATGTACTCAAAAATCAGCAGCACCCATAATTTCTATTTTTTCCAGTGAATTTTAAAAAGCCATGCATTTAATTTATTATCACTAAGTTCCCGGTTCTCCTATTCTTAACTTCAATAGTCCTCCAAGATCATATCATACATCTCTTATTGCCTCTCCTTTATTTCCCTACCCCGTAATCCGTAATCTTCTTCATCCAAAGGAAGCGAACCGCCAGTTCTCTGATACCCTCTCACAAACCGTCCCTTCTCCCAAGGGTAATTAACTTCCTCGAGATTGCGAGGTTCCGCCGGGGGTAAAGAATTCAGAATTATGTGAACCTCCACGAGCAGGCTCGTCGCTACGTACAGGTGCACCTCCCCGAACAGATCCACCCTCACCAACGTGTTCTTCTCGAGTAGTCCGTCTGCTTCTAAAACGCCTTCTATGATTCGGGGGACGTGCATTCTCAGAGCCAACGGGATAACCAAATGTATCAATTCTGTCATTCTCTGCAGATCTTCTACCCGAAAGTCTTTCTGGTGCAGGATCAGTCGGAAACAGGGTTCTTTTTTGGGGTATGCCACCATAGACAGCACTTTGGTTTAGGTTAGTGATGTTATAAAGTACAAGATTAAGAGATAGGGGTGAAAAAGAGAGTCTTCGTACTTGTTAATCTGACCCCGGGCGAAAGGGCCGTTGTTTCTTGTGGGATCATCAAAAAAACGCTCTCTTTCATTGCCAGATGATACACTGGGTGCATCTATCATTATGGAATCCTCATCGGGAACTTCGTTCGTTCTCGGCTGTGCGCCTGAGTGGTGTGCTTTTTGTTCTGTGCCAGAACGAGTAGGTGTTAGATTCTCACCCGTTGGCGATCGAGATGAAGTGCCACTTTCGCGAGGGCGATGAGTTTCAAGAGATGAGATCTTCTTTACCCATCTTTGAGCAACACTTGGAGTGGCCCAGTCTAGATCTCCACTGTTTTGTCCCGAAATTTTGGGTTTGATATTAATATTGATGGAAAACTTTATGCTTGGCATCAAAGTTGATGTTTTGAAAAGACTTTGGTATTTGGAAAGAACAGAAAGTTAAATTTGGGAGATTTTGAGGCCTTAAGAGGTAAATTCGTGTGCAAGAAAAGATAATTTCAATCGTGAATCCGCTGTAGCACTAGAGTTTGGAAATGACTGATACATTTCGAATGTTTCTTCGAAATACAAATGTATGTGTCAGCCCGAACTGATGATTCGTTCCTTTCGGTGCATATGATTCACGAAGTTCAACCATCGAGGAGTTACTGTGTTCTTGACGCGGGATCCCGTTTGATTCATTTGATACTTCTCCCATTTACGAGTGCGGATCTTTTGTTGGTCTCTTGTATCTAACTTTGTTTATAAATTTCGTCGACTCCACAATCGATTTGTATCGAATATCAAGATGTGAGTTGATGAAACCTGAGTGAATTCAAAAAGAGCAAAGTTAAGGTCAAGATAGTTCAAGCCTTGATGTCAACAAATCTAAATATACCTATTGAGAGGAAATGGCTCCAACGAGGCTCAACGAATTAACTAATATTCAGAATGAGAGATTTGATTGCAAGAACGCATATCGAATGCTCATGTCGTGTCATAACTCTTCCAGTTCCCGTGTGACTCTGCATCAAAAAAATTCACTTATTGATTCTCATGTGATCTTTACAATGTCATCATAAAACACCATGCTATTTTTATTCTACTATGTATGCCTTCCTTTGAACATGAGCTAGTTCTCATCTTTATATTTCAGAACCTGTAAGTCGTAGATTCCATGTTACATATCATCTTATTTCCCATTACTACCATGGTCTTTACGGATTTCCATAGAAGACAATTTTCCTAATGACCCTTTCAACTACCAATCCTGTGATACTTTTTCGCAAGCCAGCTGCAAAACATAAGCGCATGCAGTTATTTTGAGCGAGTGCTGTACCATTCATCAAAAGTTGCAAAGCCAGTAGTGACCCGAGCTTGCTCAGAGCTTCCGGCTTTATGTGAAGCGCTAGTTTCCTGGCGTTGAAAAGTACTCGGTGGTTGGTTAGAGACATTTGCAGACTTATGATGAAATTGGCGTTGATGATTACCTTCGGATCTGCGCCTGGAGGTTAGTACTTTTAATAGATATGCTGACGGCTGATAGGGGGTTTGAGATATATTGAAGGCCCATTTTGTAGAATATTCATACCTGATTCCCGTGGTAGAGCGTCGCCTATCCTTGGTCGGTTCAAGGGAAAGATCAGGTTCACCTCCAGAGGAATGGCGACTCTCCTCGAATGATGCCTGGGAAAATCGACGGTCGACTTTTGGTGCATAAGAAGAATGAGGTCTCTCCTTTTTTAATGAGCGAGAAGATTGCGGCCTGTTAGATGACCCGCTATGTGCAACTAAACCTTCAGAATTCGGTCTCGGTAAAGCACGATGACTATCAGACTTTGATACAGCACCCTCAAATTTCGCAGATGCAGTACAAAGGGATTCGTAAGAAGGAGGAGCAGCTTCATAGGGCGGAAGACTGAAAGTAGAAGCACGCTGGCTCCTTTCTCTATTGTTATCTTCACGTTGTGGGGGTGGAACTCGGGACCGAGCATCTCCTGGAGTGAGAAATGTGAGAATTTTGTGAAGTCCCATGGTTAAACTTTATTGAGTTTCAATATCGAGAGTTGATCGAGAATCTAGTGTTCGAAGAAAGGTATCTTGAGTGTAAAGAATCAAGCCAAAACTCAAAGCCCGGGAAACGCGAGTCCTTAAAAGGCGAAGGATTGTAAGCAAAACCGGTTAAGGAGGTTTGACTCGAATATCGAAGACAATGATTCATATTAAATGACTGTCATAATGTACAAACAGTCACATTTATTCTCAATGGCTCACGTACTTTTCAATTAAGATCAGTAGTTTAAAGTCACGCGTTTCATTATTCCTGATTATTCTATCCCTCCATCTTCAAAGCCCACAATTGTAAATCCCACATTGTATACCTCCGTCCTTTGATTTCCTAACCCTATCTTAACCGACGAGAGTTTCTACTAAGATACTCCATCGGTTTAACTAAATAACCTGGTCCTTTGTATTAGATGGCGCAATCACCATCACATCTTGATCCGCTTTGCTCATGGTAACGTTGATACCGGGGTACCTCCCTCTCAAGAGTTTGAGGTGAACATTAGCGGGACCTGGATTTGAGAGTTAGTAACATAGTCATGTAGAGATATCTTGACAAATATTAGAGTTAAAATGAAAAGGGGCTAAGGAAGGTGTTCAATCGTGTAGAGAATTTACTTACTTGTTACTTGGCCGTTCGATAAAGAAAGATCTTAGAATGGAAGAACGGGGCTTGTCCCTTGATGCAGAGGAGAGACGAAGCTCACTTCTAGATGATCTACTTTGTGGAACCACCACTCTGGGATTCATATTTGTTGATGTAGTATGATGACTACTAGATCTTGATACAACACTTTCGGCCCGTTCGCACATAGATGGACGACCATTCTCATTGCTCTGAATAGAACGAGACCTGTTATGTTGACTACCACGAGATGAATGATGAGGAGACAAGGGAGCATGTTGAGGTGTCTGCGGGACTCTGATTTCTTGTACTGATGGAAGGTTGCGAGAATCTCTATCGTTTTGGCGTCTAGGTGAAGCGTTCCAATTAGGTTGGTGTGCAATTTGGACTGCGGCTCTAAGCTGTTCAGACATTGTAAGAAGCGGCACGCCATCATCTTCAGACTGTTGCCTTCCTGAAGCGCGGTTTCGGAATGAGTTCTTAATCCTGTGAAACATTTTGGGGTTATCGTAAACAGAAGTAGGATTTGGGTTCTAATAGAAAGTAGTTGAGGAAGAGAAGGTTCAAAGCTTGGGGGACTCGAGTTCTTGAGAGGTAAATTTTGGGCAGACATGGTGAGTAAATTGACTCGAAATCCAGTTTCGAATTTCAAAGTTTGAAGATTCATAAACAATTATTGTCGTATCTGAAAGTCATAGAAACGCAACCAGTCACATTTAATATTTTCAGTTGCTCATTTACTTTCCCAGTAAATGTGAGTATTCTTGTAAAGTCATGCCATTAAAAGTTGAGTATTCTATCCATCTCTAAATCTTCTTGATTACATTATATGCTAATTATCTATCCCTACCCGTTTCACTTTCCACCTCGTGAGAGCTACTAAAAACTCTCCAAACACTGACTATGACTTCAATCGTGTCTGTGAATTGATAGATCTGTGGCAGATGCATATAGATCATTCTGTGCATCAATGTTGTTGGATCTGGGTTCAAGTGTTAGTGGCAACAGTGGATAGAATAGAAAAGCGTAGGGAGACGACTTAGAATTCTAAAGACAAAAAAGAATTTCATACTTAGAATTTTAGATATCACTAATTACATCAATAGGACGAATAGACACTTTCACTATCTCTTGAAGAGGAAGTACGAGGTCTCTCCGGTGATCTATAATAATAAGGATAACTTTGTCTTCCTGCCGATGCACGAAAAGAACGAGGCCTTCCTTCGTGGGATGTACGAGGAGAAAGAAGGGCTTCTCTTGATGTATAGAAGCCAGAATTTGTATCAACAGCTGATCTATAGGAAGGGGGATAGCTCCCAGATGATCTACTTGCTGCAGTTTGTTGTCTCAAAATTGCGACTGCATGGCTTACTATCGCAGTGTTGTGCTGATTGCGGGAGACTAATGAATCACTCCCAGACCTTGAAGATGAAGATCTGCGACCATGCTCAAAAAGATGAGAGGAAGCCTCGTAGGGTGTATCGTAAGTTGGAGAAGGCGTGTAAGAGGGAGGGGGGGGGCGAGTAAGAGGGAGGGGGAGGCGAGTAAGAAGGAGTAGGAGTAGGAAGAACTTGATGTAAAGAATGACGGGGCCTGAGAGTATTCCAGCTGCTATCGGAAGAAGAGATTGGTTGAGTATGAGAATTCGAAGGAGCTGGTCCTCGGTATCGATATTCGTACTGTCCGATGTGTCCTACACGGCTTGCTTGCTCCATATTCGGTCGCAAAGCCTCTCTTCTCGCCCTTCCCGTAGTTCCACCCCTGGTCTCTCCTATAGCTCCCCTTGAATCTCCTACAGTCTCTCTCCTAGCCTCTCCCCTCGCCCTTTCCGTAGATCTACCCCTAGTCTCTCCTATGGCTCCCCTTGTATCTCCTACAGTCTCTCTCCCAACCTCCTCATAGCGTCGACCTCTGTGCCTCGAATCTCTTGGCGTGCTCCGCACTATTTGTCGCAATGTATCCCACATTTGTGATTGATTTTAGATGTGTATTGAAGTGTAACTGCTTGACTAAAAAGTATAGTAGTTGAGAAGAACAAATTTTAAATTCTCCGAGGAAGTTGAATGTTTGAGAGGTAAACTATATGGAGATGTGATGAGGATGACTCGAAAATCGACTTTCAAATTTCGAGGATTCATATCTTCTGACTCTTAAATCAACAATAATCATAACTATAGTATTCAATTCTCTCGTAGAGAATTACTCAATGCTCATTTGCATTCCTCGATATGATTCTGTGAAAGTTTTGAACTGTACTTTTTATTTCTATTCATCGGTCTGCAAATCCCAATTCATAACCACCCAGATTACTTTTATCTTCATACTTCATATCATTTTGACCTTTTATTTCCCATCAAACTCTTCCAAGCTTTTCCCTTCCGATTTTAAATATTCTCCGTGTAGAAAGACACCATTATGAATAACTAATTCATTAGCCACCACTCAAAAAGAAAGCCACCACTTCCCAAATTTCCAAGCAAACTTCTACATTCACACATGTTCCTTCCCATAACGCGAGCTATCCGGCTGATAATTTGCTACACTTCCAGCAGTTCCAGGTCTTGTCGATACATCAGGAGAGACATGCGCATAGCTATTCGGTCCTAGAGTCGTAAGGTTCAATCTGCACATCGAAAAGTCAGTGATTCAAGTCACCAAATTGGGAAACCCATGAAAAGAACGATCTTATAGAAGCTCTTCATACCTAGCTCCTGTATCTTGCGTGCCATGACTATGAATCTTGCTAGTTAACACGCGGGGTTGAGAAGAGTTTGGTCTACGGGGTATTTGACTCGATGAGCTGCTGAGACGACTAGACGTAGCGAACCCCCGAGGATTCGCACTGGTGCGATGAGTACTCGGTGATGGTATGGGATATTTCATTGGTTGATGAGTGTCTTGTTGGTAACGTGAAAGTTGCATAGAATGATGAGCAGTTCTATTCTCAGTTCTGCTTCCTCCGTCTGGGTATGGGCGATGATAAGGTTGGGCTTGAGAAGAGACAGGAGGATGCGGATGGCGAATACTCGGACCGCGAGAATCCGGACCGCGAGTATCATGACGAGATGTAGGAGGAGGGGAGGATCTACGCCTATCTGGACTTCTACCAGAAGATTCTAGATCATCTGTGTAACTTCGGCTCGATCCACATAGCCTGCTGTACTGACGTCCAATAGCAGCTGTGCAGTCACTAAATGTAAACATGCTGCTGAGAGTTGAGTTATTGTTTTCCATTTTTGCCTTTGCTTTTTTATTGTATTTTCGAATTCCAGTGTGGATCTCGATAAATGGTTGTGAAATTTGGCAGTGGAAAAGAAGAAAGTCCACAACTGGGGGAACTTCGAGTCCTTAAGAGGTAAATTCGTAGTACCCATAATGAAAAGAGAACTGACTGGAAAGAAAAAACTGCTCTATGAATGAGTTGTTGTAATCATGTAATATGAATGATTCTAATCATCTGTATAGTCATAATTAAAACTAAATTCAACAATAATTCATATCTGAAAATATAAGTTGATTATATTCAAAGATTATAATTAATAGTTAAATTCTTGAAGTGAGAAATTTAAATAGAGATAGGAATAACTCTAGGGAAATGTTAGTATATTAATGAGTCTTGATATATAGGAAATTCTAGATATCCGACTCTTCTACCTTATGAGGAGAATCAGACTCGCGTATTGAGACTCGGATGGTTTAATTTTTGACGTCGAAGGATGTGAAAGAAATATGTATTCGGAACTCATTAAAGCACGGATGATTTAAATTTTCTATTATTTTCCATTAATCTCAGATCATTATTTATAATCGGGGGTTACGATCCTTTTCACCCCTTATTGTACTAATGAGAGGGCCTTAGCAATTCGTCAACTTTTTAGCAATTCGTAATTTTTGATAATAATTCTTATAGTTTTGATTCTTTTAATAATACAAATAGATATTTCTAATTAGATTGAATTATTGATTATTTTGTATATTTTAGAATATCTTTATTTTTTGTAGATAAAAAGTTAGAAAAAATTGATCTTATTTATTGGGGAGGTTTTATACTAAAAAAAAAACTTGACGAATTGCTGAAAAATTGACGAATTGCTGAGGTCTCCTTATTGTAGATAAGGGGGTGAATAATATGAACCCCCGATTACATGTTCTCTTTTGGTTATTGTATTCCTCGATATTCCCAAAATTGAGGTGCCTCAATCGCTCATATAGGAATCTTATATCTCTATCTCGTCCGATCCTCACCACTTAAGGACCCCTGCAATATTTCATTTTACTCACGTAGAACCCTCATGATCTTTTTGCAACCAATAGGTTCAAGTGTTTAATTCTTCTCGAAATCAAGTAATGTCAATAGGTGTTTAGAATTTATGACAGTTCATGTCATGACGTGCTATTTATCTGATGGCAATCATTAATACTAGGCGGCTCGAAACTATGTCGACTATCTCCAAATTTTGAACCTTCACGAGGTACAGGATCGCAAATGAATGCTGAGTTCAGTGTATTAGGGATTAAATCATCCGAGAATGCGAATTTGGCGATGTGAATGAAGTGCCTAGGTGTACAGTTAGTGCTAACTAGGTACTATCAGCCAAACACTTTATAATTTTTTTAATGTTGATTGATTTATTTTAAATAAAAATATAATAAAAATAAAACGAATTATTTTTAGGATTTTAATTGATTGGATTATATAAATAGGAAATAAAGTATTTTAAAATAATAAAATTTACTAATAAAATAAACGAAAATCAAGCAACTTTTTTAATATTTTGATTTAATTATATAAATTTCCACAATATAAATTTTCAAGAGATTTAAAATTTTGAAAATATCAATTATTATTAACCGATATCCCTACATCTTGCACAACCCTGTATCTTGCACACTTTTATTTATCAAAACAAAAATGGATTATAAATCGAAATATCATTATAATTATTTCGAAATTATTTCATAAGAACTTTGAAATTACATTTATATAATGGTGGGGTTTTGAAAGATTCAAAATATCAAATAAAATATTGATTGATTTAAAACAATATCAATTTTAAATACTGATAATTCAAGAAAAGTTTATATTAGAACTTGTTTATAAGATTTTGGAATAATTTATTAAATTATTTTATATTAATGTTATCGAGATAAAGTTTAAAATTTCAAAAAATATTGAAATTCAAGTTTTATAAAAGTTTTGAAAAATATATATAATTTTTTAAAAGATAAAAGTAATTGAAAAATTGTTCTTAAAATATCGCTATATATTTTAATAAAATTTAATAATTGAAAATAATTATTTGAATTTTATTTATAAACTGAAATATTTATATAATAGAAAGTATATAATATAATAATAATAAAATTATATAATAATAAAGTTTTAATTAGAAATAATATCTAATTTGATGAAAAATTAATAAAGAGAAAAAATAATATAAAATAAATATATTCATTAAAGTATTTGAGTAAAATAATTTAATAAAGTTGTTCAAAAAATTTAATAAATACTTTTCCAATTTTTAAAAGAATTTATTATTAAAAAAAATCTTTAAACTCTATAATATTTCTAGTAATTTTGAATATTAAATTCGATTATAAATTAATATCATAAGTTATTTTATTGAATGTTAATATAAATAATGATTGTCTATCTAGAAAATTATATCAAAGAATAAAAATTTCAAAAATATCATTTAAATATTATATTATCTTATATTTTATTTATTAGTATTTTTCTTATAAATAATTATATATATAATTATAATATAAAAAATAACTATTTATACTTTTTAATCAAAGTTATTATATAAATATCAAAACATAATTAAAATCTTCTAAAAATATTATAAAATCATTGATTTATAATTGATTTCTATTATAAAAAAAATTAATTCAAAAAATTCGAATTATATATTGGTATAATTTCGAATTTTTAATAAAAAAAACTACTTTTCTTAATTATATATTACAATATATTAGAATTTATATTTTTTAAAGAAATAAATATTCTTTTTTATTTGTAATATTAAATAAATCGATATAAAGAATTTTATGTAATGATTTTTAAAATTAAGATTTAGATTTATATGTTGATATATTTAATATTTTAATTGATTTTTAGTAGAGAGTATATATTATTCTATTTATTTAATAAATTTTGAAAGAATTCAATGATTGGTTGATTATAAATTGAATTTAGAATATTGATGTAAAAAGAAATAAAAGTGTGCAAGATACAGGGTTGTGCAAGATGTAGGGATATCGGTTATAAAAACTTTCTAAAAATAAATTTTTAGATAATTTGAATTATAAATAATCAAAATTTTTATATTTGAAAATATAGTAAAAAGCCGATTTTTGGTGTGAAAATGGATTTCGGCAGATAGCAGTTGACTAGTACTGTATGTCGGTAAGTTAGAGAAATGGAAGAGATCGTGATGGAGAGAGTGAGGATGTCCTACAAAGAACTAACTAAAGAGCTTTCATATCTAGACGTACCATGCAGCAGGAGAGCCGGTCGCCCCCTCAAATTCTTGTACGAGAATAGTGATCTCTCTCATTCTGAGATACATATCATCCCTCTCTCTGAATACATATTTCAAGCACCCAAATAGATTCGATATTAAACTTCAACATCCAATATCAGTATTGTATATTCACGCATAACAACTGACATTCTGCATGTTCTCCGAATCTGCCTGATCCATCATTTTTATCAGTTGTAGCTGCAATTGCACAGACTCTGTATCGAGATCCAACAATAGACGCGGCGGAGAGTGAGGCGCATATTGATGTGTCTGCAAGGACTTTGTACGAGCTCAATGCTGGTAGACAGGAGAAGGATCTTGCTCATTTTGCGAGAACCGGATACTTTGTAGTCAATTTCCATTTCGATCAGCGACACTCCCTATGGAAATTTAGCATTTCTCAGTTTCTCTGCGGATTTTTGAACTTAGCAGTATTTCAACTACGATCACGTGGAATTTCACACTCATAGTCTCTTGACGAGATTAAGTGGAGTTTTTTTCAGTTGCGATCATAGGAAAAAGCTGGCCAACTGTCTCGGGATTGATATTCCCCTGAAGTGCTGTGATGACTTCCGTTAATGAAGCCCCAAAATCTGAATCCCATTGTCAATTCGTCTTGAGTGCTGATATCAAGTCAAAACTCGATACTAATTTCAGTGTTCGAAGATTGATTTCGAAGAACCAGATCTCAAAGCCAAACCTCGGAAACCTCGAGCCCTTGAAAGGTGGAAGATTTTGACCAGGAAAAATCAGAGGAAATGACTCGAACATGAATCGCAAATGTGATGACTGTCATATCTACAAATCATAAGCACGGGATTGATCATGTTTGTTATTTTACATTGTTCATTGCGTTTCCGACCGACACCATTATTTAGTGATTCTATCCTTTGCTATTCTTCATGGATATTCCACCACTTGATTTCTACCTATGCTCAGTTTCTATCTCTTGAAATTCTGAGTTGCAAAATCTGGATATATCCTACATCCTTTGACCATCCCTAAGCGAAAAAAAACGACCATGAATAGTCCACCAGTTATTAGGTGAAGATGAACAGTCATAGAGCTCTGCAGCCTCCAAGTTTTTGCTTTTTTACTTGATTTTCGAGTCAAATCATTCGTCAGTCACAAAAGAAGTTGCTCACGGATATATAGATTTCACTACTCATGAATGTACTTATTACCATGATATTGCCACTCAAATCATCACCTCCGTTTCTTTCTTGGCGACTCATTAGCATACCAAATCTTCTTTTTGAGTCAGTCCCCCTTCATCATGGCCGTTCAAATCTACCTCTTAAGGACCTGACTTCCCTTGAGCCTGGGGTTTCTCCATTTCAACCACCAGAAGATCTAAATTGTTAGCACAAGTCTTTTTCATCGATATTTAGTTGCCGTTACCTTAAAAGAAATTCCGAATATGGCAACCACTCCAAGAAATGATTCCATTTGGGCTGGTTATACTTGACATCTGTCGTCGTCATCATTTGTTACTTTATAATTCGTTGGATGCGGCACGGACATACACTGCATCCTCAACTTCCCCCAGGGCCACGCCGCCTACCTTATTTCGGAACCCTCTTCAGCATGTATAGAATAAACGCTGCACCTGCAAAGATATGCAACGATTTGGCTCGGCGCTATGGAGACCTTGCAACTCTGTGGCTAGGCTCTTGTCCTGTCATTATGATCAATACTCCGCAAGCTGCCCATTGTTTGTTGCAGAGGGTAAGTTTACATGAAGGACTTATTGCATTCTGCTTGTGTTGACTGGCTTAAAAAACAGAAAGCAGCCTCCACGTCATCTAGGCCGATGCACAATAATTTTCGTCACAAGATCATGCCTTTCAGGGTGGTGCTCGAGTCAGAGGGAGAAACTTTCCGCAAACTTCGACAAATCTATGACAAATTTCTAGGGAAACAGCACTTACAGATATTCCAAAAGCACCAGGAGGAAGAGTCTTTCTTTCTTCTTCAGAAGTTGGTAACAGACCCAGACAACTTTCTATTTGAATGTGATAAGTTTTCAATCAATGTTATATACGGAGCTATTTACAACGAGAGGCTAGATGGCACCATGGATAATCATATTAAGAGAATATATAGACTCTGGGAGACATTATACTTCTGTGAGCATATTCAAATACTACATAATTCCGCTCTCCGCTGTTTTGATTTTGCTCATAACTTCAACCTCAGACTTTCTTCCAGGAGCTCTTATCTGCGACTTATTTCCATTCTTGCTAAGACTTCCACACTGGATGCAACCTTGGCGATACCTTGTGAATAAGCTCAAAGCTCAAGAGAGAAAAATACATGTACATCAAATAGAGAAAACAATGGCGAACATGTCTCGCAATGAGCCTCAAAATGAATGCTTTGCTGAGAAGCTATTACATGTATGTTCCTTTCATATCTTGACGTACATGCCAAAGACAATGGACACATTGCTAACAACCTCTAGTCAAAAGCAAAAGAAAATCTTGGTGATGAGTCGGTTATAACGATATTGGCAATGGCTCTAGGTGCGGCCTCTGATACAACTAGCGCAGTACTTCAAACATTCTTTAAAGTGATGGTTTTGCATCCTGAGGTCCTTTGCAGAGCTCAAAAAGGCAAGTTGACTTACTTGATCTAACCCCCCGCCTAAGCACGTATAGCATTATGTCTAATTATGAAATAGAGATCGAGCACGTTGTCGGTCCTTCTAGGCTTCCAGATTGGGCGGATAGATCAAATTTACCTTACATCGGGGCCTTGATAAAAGAACTGCATCGCTGGTCTCCGATATCTATCTGTGGTAGGATATCTTCTATATCCCTGTTAAATAGGATCAAATTAACTAGTGGTGTCGCATTAGGAATTCCACATGCAGCGACAGAAGATATTATGTACGGAGATTATTTCATTCCCGAGGGAGCTATCCTTCTACCAAACACCCCATCACTAAGTAGGAGCCCAGTACGGTACAACAATCCGAATGCATTTAACCCACTTAGGTTTCTGGAGGATAGACAAGATGCTGCTGCCTCGGCAAGGAATTCAGACTTTATGGATCGTGATCATTTTGAATTCGGGTTTGGACATCGGTTTTGTCCCGGTTCACATGTTGCGGACTCTTCTTTATACATATCCATTGCAAGAATCTTATGGGGCTTTGACATAGCAGCTATTGATCAGGTCCCACTTGATATGAAAGATCAAAGAAGTAAGTCTGCTATAATAATCTTGAAGTGTATTCGTTCGTGTCTAATCAGATTACTACAGTAAGTGCCAACTGCTATCAGCTAAAACATATTTTCATATTAAAACTTATTATTTATAATTCTAAATCCTTTTATTGTTATTAATATAATATAATATTTTTTATTATTTATTAATTCATTTTCAATTGAAATTTAATAAAAATGAGATTACTTATTTTTTGGATTTCTTTTAATTATATTATAAAAATGAGATTACTTATTTTTTGGATTTCTTTTAATTATATTATATAAATTGAAAATTGAAATATTTTCAAAATTATTAAATTTATTAATAAAATAAGCGAAAATCAAATAACTTTTTTAATAATTTGATTTAATTCTATAAATTTTTATAATATAAATTTCTGAGAATATTGAAATATCAAAAATATCAATTATTATTATAAAAACTATTACGGGTATTGATACGATATGGAATCGATATCAGGCCAACTATTAGTCCGGAAGCGAAGAGTTTTTATATATATAACTTTAGAAAAAAGGTTTCAAAGAAATTAATAAAAAATCTTATTCTAATTTTACACCTATATTTTATATTAATCATTATCTTGCATTGATTCTAATAATTCTTTTCATTCAATTTTTTTAAAGCAAGTCGTTGACTAGTTTTTGAAAATAACTTTAAAACTTCGAAAGCTTCAGATTTCAATTAAACTATAATATACTTACAATACACTTACAATATACTATCGGTATACAATCGATATTATTCATTATTATAATCCCTATCTCATTAAAATCGAATTGAAAGAAAGCTAAGAAAGAAATGTTTTTATAATATGAATTCTTTAGAAGGCCTATAGGATATTGTTGTGATACAATATCGATATCCTTTTAAAACAAATAATTGAATAAAAAAAAAAGAGAATCTTTTTCGCAAAGCAATCGCAAACCCTATCTTATATCACACCCATGAGATACCAGTGATGCATTCATTTTATATTATTATATTATCGGAGGCGATGATTGCTTCAAGTATTTTTCAAAATGATTTAGGACTTTCAGGGTTTTCAGGATTTTCCTGATTTCTTTTAGATCCTAGAGATTCGATAAAAAGCTATTAAAGTTCCACTATTTTATAAGATTCTTGTTGAAGATAGGATCTCTATATAGCACTAGGGAAAAGTCTAGCTAGCTATTCTGTAATCAGTTCACTAATAAAAGCTGGTTTTATAAGATTCCTATTCCAAAACGATAAACCCCCAATATAACGTTCTACAAAAGGGAAGGGCCTAATTAGCTATTTAGATTCCTATCAAGAAAATAGAGCTCTTACATAAGCATTAGGGAAAAGCTTAGCTAGCTATTCCGTAATCAATTTACTAATTGAAGCTGGTTGCAAATGGTCGATATTATATTGAATAGCTTGTATTTTAACTAAAAACAAAATAGTGTTTTGCTGGAATCGTTTACCTAATGGTAGATGTAAATAGGTTATTTTGGGTTTTGTGAATTTCGAATTCATTAGTAGAGGTTGATTACAAACAGTTGAAATTCTATCAGATAACTTGTATTTAGTTTAAAACGAAATAGTTTTGCTAGAATTGTTTATTTTAAAAAGACAAATACAAAAACAATATTTTTGATGTCTTTTAAATTTCAAAAATTGAAAAAGCTTTATCATTTTCAGATTTTTTAGAATTTTAAAAGTTTAATATAAACTAATAAAATTAATAAATTTAGAATTCTTTTAGATTTCAAAAACCAGTAAAAAGCTTATAAAGTTTTACTATTTTCAGGATTTTCAGACTTTTTCCGGATTTTTCAAATCTTCAAATCTCTTTTAGGATTTTCGGATCTTTCAGATTTCTTTCAGGATTTCGGGATTTTCAAGTTTTTTTAGGATTTTCAAGATATCAGATCTTTTCTAGATATTCCGGATTTTTATTATTTTTAGGATTTTGAATATTATATAGTATCAAAAATACTGTTTATTTCTAATTTTATAAGTTTTATATATTTTCAAGGATTTGTTGGAAAGCTAGCAGAATTTTATTGTTTTTAAAGAGTTTTAGGATTTTCAGATTTTAAGAATATTAGTTTAACTAGCTTATAGAGTTCTGTTATTTTTTAGGATTTTCAGGATTTTCAGGAAATGGAATACTATTTGTTAGTAAATTGTTATCGAATTCTAATTTTATATATTATACTTTTGAGAATGAAAGCTGAAAAAGGAAAAGGTAAAACTTTATCAAATATAAATCATTTAATTGTTGAATACGAATTATTATTCTATTAAAAGCAAATCAACTTCTTTTTCGAATTTTTTGAGTTTTTTAAGGTTTTTAAGGTTTTTAAGCTTTAAATATAAATTGAATTATATAAATTAGATTAATTCTTAGTATTTTTGTATTACAATATAGCTTTTTTAAAGTTATAAAAGAACTGAACCTCATAAAATGAGAATATAAGTATTACAACTAGTTTGTTGCTATAAAAGTTAATAAGATTTAAAAAAAGAATTCAATATAATAACGATTAACTATCGAATAGCTTTCAAAAGCTTTTGAAGAATACAAAGCAAACTATCAAATAGCTTTAAAGCTTTCAAGAATAAAAGTCTAAGGAGAAGGACTTTATTACAAGTATTAATATAATATAAAATCGATATCAGACCAATTATTAGTTCAGAAGTAAAGAGTTTTTATATATATAGCTTCAGAAAAAAGGTTTTAAAGGAATTAATGAAAAGTCTTATTCTAATTCTATATTTATATTTTATACTAGTTATCACCTTGCATTGATTCTAACAAAAACTTTACAAAAATAGATTTTGAAATAATTCGATTTATAGATTATAAAGATTTTTAATTTTAAAAATATAGCAAAATATCGATTTTTGATGTGAAAATGAATTTCGGCTGATAGCAGTTGACTAGTACTGTAGAAGGCTTATTAAAGAAGCCGTTGGCATTCAAAGCTCAAGTGAAGATTCGTGATGGCAGACATCTGTTTCTCTTTTGAAGAGATACATTGTCCAGTGTCCCAATCGTGGAGAGCCTAGATGGCTGAGGGAATCTGGAGGCAGAAAAGATAGACATTAGATCTGTAGCAAAGTAACATAAAACTTAATAAATCTTGAATCTTCTTTTTTGAACCAAGGCCTTCCTGGGCCCTGGCTCTTTGAAAGCCTTTAACATGTGGTTTGAGAAGTGAATGAATGCCCAAGGCTCTGTACTGACCTGGGAATGGCTCGACTCATTCTTGTACTACCTCACCTTGATAAGTGATTGACTGACCGAGTGAGTACAACAGACACGACATATCAAAAAACTGGACCTATGCGCTCTAATCATCCTGCGCACTTTGTGTAATCAAAACAAGCTAGCATGAGAAAGAGGTCTTCACCTGGCTCAGAGTTTCATTACGCTCTCAAAAATACGAGAACGAAATACAAAGAATGCTGAATCGAAATGCATGACCTTGTTAATGCACTTTCAGTAAAGTTATTTGAAATAGAGGTATGAGTAGCACCATTTCTAATTCTTTGTGCCAAAAGTGGAGTGTCTGCAGGCTATACGGAACATGGACACGGGTACCAGCTGCGAATAATGATGTGCTTTATTTTTTTAACAATGTGATTCTGAGAAGCCTTTGAAGAATCGTTAGCACTATTTAACACAGGGCTTATAAAAAGTCCTGGCATCCTTTAGCAATATAGATATTTGATCATTGTGATAGAAGGAGGATCCCCATCTCGTCATCTACACCGTGGTATTGAATCCTAAATAAATTTGACAGGCTGGATTGACTGGAAGTATCAAAACAAGGCAAAGACGCACAGTTGAGAACGAATGGCCGGGCCTTATTTTAGCCCAAAAGTTAAGCGAATCTTCTATCGTACAGCAGAATATCCCAAGATCGATGTCCGGAAAATGTTTATTGATGTATACACTGTGATTACGCGAAAAGTGCGATCATCTCTATCATACATCCAGAATACCAGTGCATGATAGTCACAGAGGTCAATGACTGGGCTCTCTCATGCTTCTGCCTTTGGGGTCTTCCAAAATTAATTTTCCTGCATGCCAGGGCGAAGTTTTACGGCAACTCGCCTTTCGATTACTGTTCTCCACCATGAAATACTGAGGGTCGGGATAATTGATTGATTGAGAAAAAGACCGAAGCTGCGTATACAGATAGACATCTCTTTTTTCTATATCTAGTATATATATGTGTGTCTCCATGGCTGCTGTCTATCCAACTTTGGCTGAAGCCTACATTCTGTAACTTCTTTTCACCTGATTTCCTCGCAGTTCTGGCAGCCTGATACACATCTAACAATAAACATGGCCAATGCAACCCTTTCAAATACTCAAAAAGCTGGTTGGGTATTTGACCCAGATGGAAGAGGTACAATGGATATTATTTGGTCATGCTTACTGGCCTTATTTGCCTCTACCTGGACTGCTATGCATATAAATGTTCCTCACGAAGAGGAATCGTTCTGGGTCGTATCTCTTCGAAAGTTCAGGTGGGCAACTTGGGCAGTATTTGCACCCGAACATGTTACTCTCTTGGCTGCTCTTCAGTGGCAGTCTGCTCGAGCGTCCCGAGATAAGATGCGAGAACTTGGTGTTGGTCATTGGACTATTGCCCACGGATTTGTTGCAGACAGTGGGGGCTTCCTACTTTGCGCGCCAGATTCGCCACGATTCCCCATCAATTCAAGAGCTCTACACTACCTGGTCTCTAAATTCTATCTTGAAACGCCCACTATTGAAGAAAGAGAAATCATGGATCGGAGTAAAAAGGATCGTCTCGGGAAGGTTTTGACAGTTACCCAGGGTGGATACTTATTTGTCTCCTCAATTGCTAGAGCTGTACAATCTCTTGAAATTACTTGTCTCGAGACAATCACGTTAGCCATTCTCTTCTGTACCACAATATCTTACTTTTTCTGGCTAAATAAGCCTTTCGACGTTGAAGTTCCTATACGTCTCGAGTCGAAAGTGTCTATCTCTCAGATACTTCGTGAAGCAGAACCGGTCGCTTCTGGCGTCTATTCTGATTCTCCTTTAGACTTTGTCGAACAGCCTGGATGGCGAACTTGGAGACGCAGACCTATGTTCAAACACTTTGGCGGGCTTTCGCAGAGGCCGGTCAGAAGAATCCCAAACGACTACGTACTTGAGCCGAATTTCAAATTGGCTCTCTTCACCTTAACAGTCACTGTCGTCCATGCTGCAATCCATGTTACTGGCTGGAACTTGAGCTTTCCCACAACGACAGAACAGTTGCTCTGGCATGGCGCCAGCTTGTGCCTTCTTCTGGACCTTTTCGTTTGGGGTATAGTGGAAGTCTTGCTCTTGAAACCGGGCCTCGACTTTGATATGACACTCCTAGGAATTTGGGAAAAAAGGTCCTCGAAGCGCGGCTTTTGGCGAAGGTGGGGTCTTGATGGACCCGCAATTTTGGGCTCTAGCTTGTATTTTCTGTCCAAGTTGGCGCTCCTAGTTGGTGCATTTACTAGTCTCAGACTATTGCCAGAATCGGCATATCAGACGGTGGAATGGACAAAATTTCTACCAAATTTCTCTTAATAAAGACCCATAAAATGTACCATCTATCAATCTATTCAACGGCTGTCTCAAACTCCGAACAGTAGAATGTATAATGGCTGATAGTCTAATGAGTGTAATATGTTGCTTAGATTGATTGTACTGGAAGACGGTCATTCGCGTATCTTTGTCGAATTATATATACCGCCTCGTATCACAACAAATGTAAGGTTATAAGACAACCACGAACCCGCAAGCACATAGAGGCTGGAATTTACCCACTTATCAAGGATAATGTCGGTAGTTAAAATAGAATAGCCATTAAATGATTAAAATATCATGTAGAAATTATCTAGTTGGGTAATCTACAAATTTTTAAGTTGAGCATGTTATAGTGACTTCAGGAGTGTAGTAAGATTACAAAAATGGAAATAATAAAAGTTAAAATCGGAAGATGTCGAATTCTTAAAAGATGAAATTTTCATGCCTATAATAAAAATAGAACTGACTGGAAAGAAAAAACTGCTCTACGAATGAGTTGTCGTAATAATACAACGTGAATGATTCTACCCATTTGTACAGTAATAACTAAGAACAAATTCGATAACAATTCACGTCCGGATATACGTGCAGATTTACTCTTCACCGAGAAATCCCTTGGATCACATCCAGAAGCGTGCTATTGAATAATAAGTACTCTTCACTTGGGAATTTCCCATGACTGGTGCATACTCTCACCAATGTGTAAAAATAAAATCAAGCCTAGAGAGAAATAACGGACTCAGAATCTCCAATAAATAGGTGATAACTTCTACTAACCCCGTTCCGTTCTATTCCTACTGCATATCTATAGCACAGCACAGACAAGAGATGCTATTCTTTCTGAATGCAAGAAAAGCCTCCTTTCCCTCCCAATATCCATATACAAAGTAATGCGATTGCCCAACATATAATCATATCCACATGAGTATACCGAGCCTCCCACCCAAACGCCAACCATGCAGACCAGACCGAATCCACAGAATACCGTTATATATGCACATTTTCCACACCTTCCTAAATTATTCCGGATCACACTCCTCTTCTCTTGTCAAACTCTTCACTAGAAACCGACACCCTCTTTAAACCCCCTCAACCCTCGTCAAAAACTCTCGAACTCTATTTAAATCGACATCACTCTCACTCTCCACCGCTCTCGCCAATCCCTCAATAACACTATCCACCTTCGAAACATCCACACCCGTACACAAACTAATAATTTTCTTATACTTTGCTATCCTGCCAGTATCTTTACTTCTCAATTCTTGAACGCTTCTTTCCAAATTATCATTATTAGCTTTATAAGCCATGATTCTCGCTTGAAGAATATGTAGTGAAGGTAATTGTTGTAACAACGCTTGTCTATTCGCATGATCTACTTTGAGATTCGAATTTCTCGTCGGAGTATTATTTATATCTGCAGGAATTTGTGGAACCGCCAAAGATTTATCTGCATCACCAAGATGCATTTCAAGGTCTAGATCTGAAGTAGGTTGATTGAATTGTTGCTGAAGTTGAAGTAATTTCATACTTTCTTCTTCTGCGGCTCGAGTGAGGTTTGCGATTTTGAGATCACGTTCTTCACGTTGTCGATTACGTTCTTGTTTTGCTTCCATGGCACGTCGTTCTTCTCCTAAGCTTGCAGATGCTTCGCGAAGTTTGGCATGAATTGAGTCGATTTGAGCTTGTTTAGCTTCTACTTCTTTTCCAAAGTCTTCAAGTGTTGATTGGAGAGTTGCATTTATGGCTAAAATTATATTAGAAAAAATCCAAGGTGGGTAGTAGAATGACAGAAACTTACAGTCAATAATTTCACCACTAGTTTCACGCGTGGCTTTGTTTCCTCTCTTATCAGGACTTGCAAGACCTAAACGATCTCCAGGGTTTGTCAAACCCCCAATGAAATCTGATGGGCGTAACTTGGAATTATTCTGAATTTCAGGATCTGCTCCAACTTCCATGAGTTGGGAGATAATACTTTTGTTACCGACTCTAGCTGCAATATTGAGAGCAGTGTCACCTGAATTATCCTGTGCATTTACCATTTCAGACATAAATCGACCAATATCCATGGCATGAGGATTAGGCTCATGATTTTGTGATTGACCATTGAATGAACGACCTTTCCTAACAACAAATTCGAGAAGTGATTCAAGATAGTATTTACTAGCAGGGCTGCGACCTTTGACAGCTGAAGTGACAGCTATATGATGTAAGACTGTTCGTCCACGATTATCCTGGAAGCCAATAGTGTTGCCGAGTAATTCAAGAAGGTCCGGGAAACTTCCTTGATCCAAATTGTTAGCTACACAACATGCTCTCATCAATGCAGTCTCTCCTCTGAGATTGACTCGATATATGCTTGCGCCGGATTGAATGAGCTTTTGTAAGACAGGTAATCTTGCAAGAGTAGCAGCCCAATGAACAGCAGTATTGGCTGATTTGTCTATAGGAATATCGAGTTCTACACCGGACATAGTACGAAACGCCTCCTGATCATTGTGCTCATTCGTCCCCAAGTAAGAATTCTCGTTGTGAAAGAGTGACAATAGAGTCAATCCCTTCTTTCCATTGTGTTGATTTTCTGGTAGAGGCGGTAACGGCATTGGAGCTTCTTCCTCTTGTGATAAGCCCAAATCTTGACGATAGAAGAATGAATCATTAGGTTCGGTTGGAGACGGCTCTCGCAAGGACATATTATAAGCACCATTCATCGACTGTTGGCTATCATTCGGTGGCTCGAGAGATTCTCTTCGTCTTTTTCGTGGCGGCTCTTGGAAATCACCATCCTCTCTCCCAGTATGCGAGAACTGAAATTGGGATTGAGTTGCATAAGCCGAATCTCCATTCGTTAAACCTTCGTTAGAAACGAAGCTTTGGATACTTTGTTGCGAGTTGGGGAATGTAGTCTCTTGACTCATTTGTTGTGATGATTGTCTGCTAAAAGTAGGAGGTCTTGCGCTACTGTTTCGATTCCTAGGAACAGGCGAATCAAATCGGGCTTTGCTAATTGCTGCGACTGCGAGGGAAGCTTGATTCGAAATATTTTTAAAGAATGTTCCGGATTGTCCAATATTACGATTCTCGGTCCCTGAATTATAAAGTCTCTTTCTTTGTGCAGCCATTGCTTGTTCCTTCGTTGGAGTATCAATTCCACCTTGTCCTGCAATACCTCCATCTTGGCCCATATCATAGCTTAAAAGTGGCCGTAGAAGTTCTTCCACGCCATATTGTTTGCAAAATTCAACGCCTCTTTCGAATCTAATCCAAGTTCCTTGGTATTTTCCGTACCCACCCTGAACTTTCTCATGATCCCCAATCAGAATTTCTTTCTCGAGGACCTTTGTTCGCTTTCCTTTTTCGATTCCTGCTACTTTCAATATCTGGGTAGCATTAAGCCAACTATCTTTTCTCCGTCGCATGACTGCTATACGATTAACTTCCATTTCATATACATCGACACCGGAATAAACCGCCTATAAAAGATTAGTAACAGCTTAGTTTTCAATTGAAACAACATAAACATACCGAATAGATTTGAGGTGCCATGTCTCTACGATTCATGGCACCAGTTGAGTCGTATTGACGAAAAGGTCCACCTGGTTGCATCATTAAACCACCAGGCTGTGATCCTTGACTCATACTGATTGACATTTCGGAACGAAATCGAGTCGAATCTTGGCCACGATCGTGTGCGCTGTTGTTTGCAGAATATGTCTTCGGCGGCAGATGATTTTGTTTTGATTCTGATGTAGTCGCAAGAGGTAGAGGGTTGGATTTAATTCTCGTCGCTGCCATAGAATAAGAGATATCGACAGATATCGAGATGTTGCGACGATGTGTATTAGTCGAATGGCAATCGCGTCACCGAGGACGGTAAGATCCTTGAAACAAGGAGCTTTATCAATTCAATGTTCACTGAGCGCATTCACCTACAATGATGCTCAGATCAATGACGATAAGGGGAACGCGACTCAATATCTAAACAGGGGTGAGGTCGACGTGTCTTTCGTGTATCAAGCGCGAGGAGGTGTAAAGTGGTTTTGAGAATTGGTGTATTATTGGAATGTATTGGTGTGGGGGGTTGGATGGAAATTTAATTGGACTTTGACGTGACGGTTCGCGAAGCTAAAATGACCTTTTGGGTGGATAGATGTGTGATGGGAAACATTATGTAAGCAAGCTTTGACACGACCACGTGATGACTCAGAGCAGAAGAGAATTCCGACGACTCACTACATACATGCACTCAGTACATATGTTTTAATATACAATTGTCTCTTCGCCGTCGATATTTATATCTTCATACGAGCCATTAGTCAACGTCAAGATTCAATTTGAATGAGACTTCATTCCATCCTGTACTCTGTAGGTAAATATCCTCTCAACACGCGACTCAATGCCTATATTTGAAGGCGACAACAATATTTCTCTTCATCAATCTTCAGTACAATAATTTGGCAACTACCCAGGTACCTTTTGACTCTCCCCAAAGGATCAGGAAGTATTCTGCTTCTTGTTGATTCTCTTCATTCGTTTCATACTTTTTACGTTGTTAATACTGCTTGCGTTCACAAACCCAGCAACCCCCAGCTTCAACAGCTCCAATGCCGTCCATAAGCAAAAACGTTTACACACTTCCCTTACAAGTGAAGGAATACCTACCGCATTTCCGAAAACAATATCGAGCTCTCCTGAGAGAAGCAACGTATCTTCCTGATTCTGCCGCAAGAACTTTTGTCCACGATCTTCTTGTCAAACGATTCAATCCTCCCGATCCTCGAAAGCTGAATCCAAAATATTGGGGAACCGATTATTTACGGTCAAAGGTTGATTTGAAGAAACTGCAGACAAGATCCAAAAAGAATGCTACCAAATTACATTTACTAGAGCGTGTAAATCTGGAAGGCAGTATACCTGATTTACAACATGTCTTATTGAGAACATATGGACGTGCAGGACATAGAAGGAGGGAATTAATTACTCAATTGTTGAGACCTGGAGAGGATGAATTACCACAAGATGATACAGCACTATCACGAATTATCGATAGCCAGATTTCAAAGAATTTGGATGCGACCAAAGATGTTGAGATAGACAAAGCAAACGCTTCATCCAAAAGACAGCGCCGAGAGCACAAAAATGTGCATTTGTTTCTCGCGAGTCAACAAGCAAATAATCCCATGGAATCGATGAGAGGGAGGATAAAAAGTCTCAAGCTAGATATACCGTTAACGAATGCATGGGGACGTAGCTTCCCAGAAAAACGGAAAGTAAATATGCAACGCACATGGTGGGCAAGTCTTTTGGAACGAGTTCTACCACCAGTACCTGAACATGAATGGAATAGATTGAGAGATTTAGCAGAAGGAACACAGCCAATCGAGTGTCCACCCCCAAGACGAAAGGCTGCCGTTCCCCGAAATCAAAATGAAGATGCTGAATCCGCTGGAGAAAGGATGGATTCCCTGTACAACAAACCAGCCAGACTTAATGCGGATGTCTGGGACGAGACAACGATGAAAATTGAGCTAAATGACTCACAAACTTCCAATACGCCACAACACAACAGGACACGAGCGATGCGAAGGCTATACGGTATGATTTGGAGTCTTTCATCAAAAATGGTACAAGATGAGAACACTAAAGAATATACAATAACTTGGGGAGGGCAACGTTCACCATCCGCTGCGGGAGAGATCACAAAGCCATCGTCGAAAGATGCTGAGTTCTTCGAATTGCCAGACGATAGGTTAGCTCAGGGAACTATGGATAGAAAGATCAGGAAGTCAGTGAAGCGTGAAACACAACAACTGATACATTAGGATTGGTGTCACTGTTACTGTTCAATCTGTAGTATTGCTATTTGAGGCGGAAAAAAAGCCTTCTATAATGATTTTCATACGGATAGTTTCCAGTTCTTTCCTCATGTGACATCGCAAACACTCAAAACAACATTTACTAAAATGCCTCTTGACTTCTTCAAGATACTTCCTATCTCCTCTTAATCTACTGAGCTTTTTCCGCCAACTTCATCAATGCCTCCCCATCAACCCTCATTGTCTGCCACCCATCCATCGCCTTGGCACCCACACTCTTCCCCTCATAAAATTCAATACTAGGTTCATTCCACTTCAACACACTCCATTCCAATCTCCCTCCCTCCATATCCACAACCTCCTTCGCTAAAATACTTAACAATCTCGATCCATAACCCTTCCCCCGCTCGCTTTCCCGTACATACAAATCCTCGAGATAGATACCCGCTGAAGCGCGCCAGGTTGAGTAATTGTAGAAATATAGCGCCATTCCTATTGGTTCGGGGGGTTGGGAAGCAGAAGAAGGGGATGAGGGAGGAAATACAAGTAGACAACGCGCGGGTCGAGTAGGAGATATAGCATCTCCGGTCGAAGGGGTGGTGTTTGCAGGGGATACGAGTGGGGAGGGAGCAAAAGCAATAGTTTTGGAGAGGGAGGAGGGAGTGGCGAGTACAGAGGCGGATTCGTGTTCGTAGGCTGCGAGTTCGTGGATGAGGGTTAGGATTCCGGGGATGTCTGGGAGTGGGGAGGAGCAGTTAGTTTGGGGGTTGAGGTTAAGGTGAGATTTTGAGTTAAATGGATGGGACTGGGAAGGAGGAGAGATGTAGATAAAGTTTTGGGAGGATATAGTATAGTTTGATGGGGTGTAATCGTGATCTTACCTTCACGACGTGCATGGCGGATTATTGCTTCTTCGGCCATTTTTGTAAGATCTTAGAATATTATTTTACCAGGTGGTATGTGATCTTGACAAAACAATTGATATCTCAATTGAAGATGTTTATCGAAGATTGAGAAAGAGAGAAAGTTGAATTGGAGTTCCAGTAGGTTTGGGGAGTTTTTCTAGGACGCAGAGAGCAGAATATCGTGAATGTCAAGATAGCAGTGAAGGGCGTGATGCGGGGCAGATGAGTCGAATAGATTAATATCGGGGTTGAGGTTGTCATTCTGCTGGTCGTCAAAGCGGTGAAGAGTAGAAAGGGGAAGGCGGTATGGTCAGACACGTGAGTTTTGCAGAAAGAGCGCGGGATTTCGCTCCTTTTATCATTTTAGAGTGTGGAATTAGTAAATGCTGTGGTGTGCCGATGGCGGTTAGGAAAGGATTAACAAGTGATGATAGAGTGTGTATACATGCACACCTTGATGATTGATAAGGAGTCTTTGTTAACCAGATGTATTTATTTACCCATCGCGTCTTCAAACACTCTCCAGGTCAACCGCGATATATCCTGCCAGTATCGCACATTCGGAGTATTTTTCATTTTTGTACCCCCAAGTGACTAGACGATCTTGGAGTTCTCGATTGTCGGCAACTTTGGGGCGGTTTTAATACCGAATCATCTCATTTTCACTCTTGAGCTTGTAGTGGAGCTTTCTCAAAATCACCAAGAACTTGTGTTCTAGCGTTTCGACGGCGAGCTTTAGTATAAGATTGCCGTAACCTTATCGGACCCAAGAAATTTCTCCATAGCTTTGCTCTGTTTCCTTGTGCGTTCGAGCCACACTTTGCAGACATCTATGCAGACTCACACTTGAGTGCAGTTATGACTGGCCTACCATCAGTTCCAGTTCAGGAAATTGTGTCAATAACAAAGGCTGCATGGAACCAAATCATCTAGTATGACTAAAAATGGCAATCTCTTCAAAGTTGAAGTGGTACGCATAAAACATTTTTGTTGTCTTGTAATCTCCTAGTAGCTTTCGTCCCTCATTCACACATGAGGCCACAAAATGCAGACAGGTTCGCGGTCAAGATGAGCTGTTCAGAAAGAACTGGATGGTGATGAAATAATATATTGGAGGCACTTGGTAAGGCACGTGGTGAAAATATAAACCTGTCGAGCCTGGTTTGTTGCATACCTGGATTTCAAAGTGTGGGGAGATTGAGGAGATTTCCTGCCTCACCAGGCTATCGTCTGCCGATTTGGGGAGATTCTAGCTGTTCCTGCAAATACCAAAACAAACAAGCAGTCGTAACTCTCCACTATTCTCGGACAACAGATATGTCACCTTCCTACTGATTTTGTGAGTAGTGGAAAATTATATCAGTTCACTTGATGTTGCGCTTTTCGATATGCTGCTATGTATGAACATATTGCCAATGATCACACCCTGTCCATATGTATGTCAAGATGATGTAGATATCTGATCCAAGAAATATCGAAACTCCTATTGCTCTATAATTCTGATACTCAGCGCAAGAACGACTTACGTCCTGACCCAGGCTTCTCATAGTTTTGATGTCTGAGTTCATTATTGAACACGGTCTCGTCTGCTTTGAATTTGTCATCTAAAATCATAGAGGCGCCAGCTGTGGTGAACAAGGTCTTGAAGATTACTCCATTCTTGCCTGCCAAGTCCTTTCTCCCATTTTACGCAGCTAAGATATTACTATACATTGCTTTCGCTTTTCCATGATACATGTATTCAAGACCATCGACAACACACAGAAGCACACCAGTTGCTACATTCAAGAGATCGATAGTATGTGACAATGCCTCTTTCCAGCTTTCTAAAGGTTTCTCGAGTTGAGAAAACCGCAAAGGATTCGAATCAATCTCACAGTGAACTCCCGGCTCAAGAAGAGCAATGAGCTGGCGAATAAGTGCATATACAGGAAATACTTTATAAGCTTGTTCCAAAGTCAAGCCTTGTTGTTGCTCGGATCTCATGATGAGCCCAAAGAAGTGGAAGTTTATCGATGTCTTTGATATCATAGTAACACTAATCAAAGAGCCAGCAAGTACAGGAACATCAGAGGGATATCTGTGGCCAGCTTCTATTTGAATCCATTGGATAGTGCAATCGTTGTACTCCAGCCACTCTCCAAGTTTCATGGCAACAAATGTAGCTGCCCATGACGAGGGTGGTAGAGTTCTGTAGAAATCCGGATACCTTTGAATCCACTCCGAATAATGAATATTTTGAAGCGTCAAGATTGTTCACAAAGGCTCTTTGTCAAAACCCACTGGTTAGGAGCTTTGCAACTCTCTTGGTAGTCAAGGGTGTCAATCATGGCATGACAGCTGTGGAGACCAGTTCGCGGAAGAACCGGACTGGTAATTTTTGGAAGGGAAATATCAGAGGCATATTACATTGCTACATGGTCCGTAGCCTGAATTCTGTGTACCTTGATACTTGCTCGTGCAACTTCGGATGATAACCAACTTCAGCACCTCCTGGATGGAGGAAGACATGTACAATGGGTTAGTAATTTAATTCCCGCATAAACTACAAGACTTACAACATCGTCAGATATTGTAGCTGAATTCGCTGAACGACCCGTATCTCGCGTCCTTGAAGCAATATCGGCACCGATCTCGCTACAGTATAGTCACAGCTACGAGGGTGGACGATGAACGCACGACGACGGGGAGCCATTATTCTCATATTTTTTAAAGTTGGAGCAGACGCATAAGGAGAAGAGCGTACAGCTGATGGTCTGAAAGCAATAGTTTAGTCGCAAGTCGGTGTTATTAGTCGCTCATATCCCATCGCTTCTATCTTCTAAAACCAGTTCGTTAAGATTTCCAAGAGGTTCAAATAAGATCTGAGCACATTTTCTGAAGGAAATGTGGCGAAGCAAGCGTTGGAATACAGGGCGAGAAGCGATAGTGTTGAAGGGGAGTTAGGGTTGAGAACTTACGTTCGGACTGGACAAACCTATCCGGGATTGATAAATGAGGTATGTTTAATTTTCTTTGTGATTAATCCATATTGCTAAGCCATTCTGCAATTCTATCTCAATGCTTTATTAGTCTATAACTCCGAAATATCTCCTAAAGCTTAACAAGAACAAGAACATCCCAAACATCCAACCGACCAAAGAAATCTTTAGCAAGGTATTTATTTACTGAGGACCCCGAATGTTCTCGGGAAAACGGAAGTCGATCATCTGTATTCCAACAAACCACTATAAATCCACGCATTCAAAGCTACTATATCAGACAGTTTAGGCGAATGTGAGATAATCTCAATACTACCATCCTCATTAAGGAATGAGTCGAATCTCCTGAAGTGGAGAGATAATAAGCCTCAACCAATAAATATCGTCAGAAATATGCGGGATACGGGCTAAGGGGCCGGACCGTACCGACCTGTTGGTACATTATATAGCCTGTCATTGGGCTTGCCGGGGTGTGATAGATGAGAAATACGCTAGAGACACCGCAGTACTAGTTTATAACGCACATAGTTGTGGGTCTTATCGTTTGCCAGGGAAGTTTTTTGGACTTACCAGGGCATTGCTGCTATCAGTTGCGTTTTTCATACGAGTTGATCGGTAGTTACACTCGCCTGAAACGTTGTCTTTTGTTGGGCTCTCTGCATCGGATTTCATTTTAATGCCCAATTCCAATCTGTGTATATGGACACATTTGCTGGCAGTATTACAATCATGTGAAAATTAGGGATCTGAATCAGAGATAGGTGGTGGTCTTTTTTGATACAGAGGGTCAAAAGAGGGCAGAAATAATTTCTTCGTTCTAGTTCTGATCATTTTATAAGACTAAACTACGATTTGATTTGATGAAAACATGAGTAGTTAAACTAGCTTTTGTGTTTCATCACTTTACTCTGACAAAATGACCCTCAAACTCCCATATAGGACCTACATAGACTTTCCGTCCATGCAACAGCCAGAAAATCATACTAAAGATAACGGCCCCGCCAAAAATTAAACAGCTCCAATTCATATTCGCCGCGTCCACCTTCGAGAAAGCAGGCCAGAACGAGAAAAACAATGCGATAATAGTGTAGATTATAGCTACAACAGTAATGGGTACACCTAGCTTCTTGAGTCGGAAAGGAGCCCATAGCATTTCGGACGCTGGTGTTTTTAATCTTTTTGCTAGCATCACACTGGCGGCTAGCAAGAAAGATGACTGGTACGCGGCCAAAACAACAGAATAGAATGCTCCAAATGCGGTGTATGAGCCGACACTTATTAGTGCTAGTAGTACGTTGATTATAAGTGTTCCTATGATTGCGTTGATTGGTAGTCGGGTTTTGGGATTAACCTATGCTTGTCATTAGCTTGAGTTTGTAAGAACCCAGAGACACGGTGTTTTTTGCCTTCACAAGGAGATGAGAGAATGGCAGTCCATTCTCTCTTGAAAAAGCCCATAAAGTTCGAGATGCTGTGGCCAAGACACTGCTGACGGAAAAAACGTTTACTCCGGTAATCACAATTATCTGCCCGGGTTAGAAAAGTACGCTCAGGCATGAATCATTGCTTACCAGTGCATTGGCTCCTTTTCTTGACCCTAATGCAGTCTGAAATATCTCCATGAAAGGAAAACCAGTGTTTGACTGAGTAGCGGCGACGATATCTTGGATACCAAACAATACTGCTATCATCATAGAAAAACCCAGGATGCCATTGAACAAGGTTGAGAACCAAATGCTGAAAGGTATGACTCTCGATGCCTGGTTGATTTCTTCGGCTATAAAGGATGAGCCTTTAGCCTGATTCTTGGTCCTGACCTAAGTTTATTCGATAGAAAATGAAACATAAGCATACCAATGTGATCAGCGCCATCATTTCCTACAAAGGAACTGACAGATGTAATCCATCCAACAAAAAACGAAAGACCCATGCTATCCCATCCACCCAGGTTTTGAAAAGTGGTAAAGACCTTATCAGCGGGTGTGTGAGGCGATAAATAAACTATAGGAATGAGCACTCCAATGAATCCCAAGATATACAGAATAAGCATCATAGCTTCGATACGCGGTAGAAGACGACCCAGATAAGTATTGATGAAAACACCAAAGAGAGCGATGGCATAGAAAAGCAGAGTCGCTTGCCACAATTTCGGATCATAGTCTGGATAGTTGAGAATCAGGAGACCTTGGATCAACGAAGCGACAGTATAGCATGTTTCTGCAACAAAGGCTTGCCAACAAATAACAGTAAGCCATCCTGCCAAGTAGCTAAGAAACTTCTTGCACCAAGGGGGAGACAAAATGGCAACCCAATTAAAAGGCCCACCAGCGAGAGGAATCCTATATCTAGTTAGTAATATATCCTTGATTATATCAAGATTGTGAATGTTTGACTCACATTGACGCCATCTCAGCCATAACCAATGCTTGAAGCATAGCTCCGGACCATGCCGCTAGAAATCCGTAGATTAATCCAGCAGGGCCGCCATTTTGTAAACCGAATTGAAGAGTACTTCATATGATTACTCAGTTAGCACTTCTGAGTTAGAGAGTCATATTGAGGCTCTTACAATAAAACAACTTCCCATGTCAACATCAAACCACAAGTTAAGCCCACGGAAGACAGAGATTTAAATCTTCGCTAAAAATTTATGTGGTCAATAATATATAGTAACGCTTAGCCGAGTAAGATCTTACCTTGAGCTGTTGCTTTTTTCCAAATACAGCCAGAGTTGCCTCATCTTGGACTTTACTTGCGTAGTCTTTCTCCGATAACTTCCCTCGCTCTGTCAGGTTCATATCTCCATTTTCTTGGTCAAGATTAACTCCGGAAGAAGTGGTGACTTGAACTTCTTGCACAACACCAGGCTTAGCTTCATCAAGCGCGTAGGAAGACATTTTTCGTTCAGTGTCACAGAATGCCGCTTCAAAGAAAGAGAAAGTAAATCAGAGTTAGATAAAGAAGAGGGTATCGTTCAATAACGGATGCGTTTTTTTCCACAAGCCATGCCATGTTCCATCATGGATTTGTGTAATCAGACGAACCATTGAGCCTAGATTGCTTGACCCACTAATCGAATACAAGAACGGCGAGTTGCATTTCATGCGTTACATTCTACTTGTCATAATTTAAAGCCCTTGCTCCGGACCTGCGGGAAAGCGGAGACCTAAATGCAACATCAACCGGGGATATGATAGCGTCTCAACGCTGTAACCGAGAGCAGATCATGGCTTGTAATGACAGACGTATTTATCCATATACTGCATGGCGAGACTGGATTACTAAAAGCTGGGTTCATTCTATTGCCCAGACAATAAAGTGATCTTAACTCATTTCAAAAATCCATCATCAATTAATGAAATGGCACCTATCAACCCAGCAGCCGATTTCTATGACAACTTAGGAATTAGATACGAGAAGAGTTTCGGACATGATGAAGGCCTCATAGCATTCATTACCGAGAGTCTGAGTCTTCTTCCTGCGAGCTCTGATACGACGGTCCTTGATATCGGCAGTGGAACCGGGGTTCCAACATCCAGCCTCGTTGTGAGCAGTGGTCGCAAATTATATGGGATTGACTTTTCTCCCGTCATGATCGAATTGAGCAAGCGACAAGTCCCTGGGGGAACTTTCCAGCTGACTAACATGCTTGACTTCTCCCCTGAATCACCGTCTCACTTTCAAGACGCCTTTGCGATATTCTCCCTGTTTCATTTTTCGCGTGAGGAAATGGATGTGGCGGCTGAAAGGATGTCGGGATGGATTGCTCCCGGGGGCTACATTTTTATCGGGACCATGGTAGCTGAGGACTTTCCAACAGAGCCACATATGTTTGACGAGGATGGAGAATGTGCAAGAGGTATCGAGCATACATTCATGGGAAAGCGAATTGGGAACCTTCTTTACACCAGAAAGGGTTGGGAGAACTTGTTGCGAAAGGTTGGGTTCGAGGTGGTGAAGACCGAAATGGTACCTTTTCAGGCGCCTGCAGATGCACAATGTGATATTGAGCCGCATTATTACATTACCGCACGCAAGAACTCTGACGGATAAGCGTTCACCACGTGTGTAACTTCAAGCTCCAACAAGAGTCTGGACAAGTCGAGCGTACCTCCCCGATAGAATATAGATCGGTAGGAATTTACACCACGCATTCCGAAATTAGAATGATTAGCATTGATCCATGTCACAATTAACTTGGTACTTCGGCATCACGTATTCGAATAGGGTCAATTTATCCAGAGACAAAAAGAAGAAAATAAATTAGATCTTGATTTGCTCATTGGCCAATATTCAATATGCTCGTATCAACCAAGAGTCGAAAGTACAAGTGTGATATTGTTCACCTCCTGTGTTTATAGATTTGTGAAAATTACATTTCTAAAGTGTTGTTGGATTTAACAATCGGATGTTGACTTTCGCGGATTCGGTAAAGAATATGAAGTGAGGCACAGCACATATTTGAATCCCCTTGCAGTTCAACTTCTAATTTCATACGTATTCATATCCCACACAGCTGGTTCTTATCTCGAACTATTTGAGCAATGATAATCTGCGACCTAAAGGAAATGGATGTTGACTGCAAGATCTAGGAGCAATCATATTCTCAGGCAGTAGGGTAATACATATATTGAATACAAGCCTTGAGTTTTCTTGTGCTTTTGCAGCAGCATGTCAATTACATCACATGAACTTTCTGAGCCTTCATATACCAATAATACAAATTTGACGCCGACGAGTGGCTACTTATCCGAGCAAGATGGCTGTAGTAACAGCCGATAATTATGGGCCACTTCTGAATGTCGCTATGTGGATTGTATTGGTACCCATGATTATTATGGCATTGACCAAAATCTATACCAAATACGACACTCTTCGCAAAATCCAGATGGATGATTATTTGGGTCTCATTGCTATGGTATGTAGGTCCAGTGCGTTCCCATTCTGGACTCCATACGTGATTCCCTATCTTGAGCTTACAATTATCCGTAATATTAGTTGTCCTCAGTCGGTCAATTCATATGCACATCGGAACAAATTGCTCATGGACTTGGGCAAAAACAAGATAATATCCTTCAGAGTGAGCTAAATCGCTTCTATATAGTGAGATATCTGCGATAAGGCCAAATTCTGACAAACACTAAGAACTTATAGGCTCAATATGCTGGTAACATTATGTATATCTCAGCAATCTTTCTCGCCAAGATATCAAATCTTTACTTCTTCGTTTGTCTCACTAGAGAAGGAAGCAAGAAACGACGATTGATTCATAGAAGCATTGTCTGGATTGGAATATGGAGCTTGATCAGTATAGTTGTGATCGCTCTGCAATGCCAGCTCCCAGATCCTTGGGTGTTTGAGTCGGGGAAATGTCTCAATGTTGTAAGATACTCCAAGTCTTCGAGTTCTGTATCCTAACCTCAGTTGCTGTTCCACAGAGAGCCTTTTGGACTATCAACGCGGTAGTGGATTCGTTGACCCAGGTGTTCGTTGGTCTGCTTCCTGTGTATATTCTGAATGTTCTGAAAATGGAGGATTCCAAGAAAAGACTGACAATACTTTTATTCTCGCCGAACCTTTTGTAAGACTTATCTTTTGTAACCGTTGGCCCGTTTGTATTCTGTATCAGAGGATGTGTGACTAATTCAATCATCAATGATAGGACCTTACCCCTTCTTACTCTTCGCATAATCTATCTTTATAACACCATCGATTCTACAAATTATACTTGGGATTCATTTAACTTGGCTTTAATAACAAACCTGCACTCTTCCTTCACAATTATATTGTCCTGTGTACCCTTCTCCAAATCCATCATCGACAGCCTCGTCGTCGCACCGCATATCATAACGGACACCACAAGTGGGGCCCTCTCAAGTGATCGGCTAAAAGGTGCAGGAAGGGGAAACAGATCTTACATTCGAGGTTCTTCACGCTTCTTAAGTGGAGGTGCAACCAGGACAGCTACAATCGTAACTGTTACTGGAGGTGAATCACAAGAATTGAACGAGTATATCAGCCGTGCCGAGAGCCAAGAACGAATGATCTCAGGGTCAACAAGCCCAGCTACAAGCAAAGCTGAATGGCACTCATAAATAAAACCGATGATATTTCTTGTCCCTCTGGTACTTTCAAAGCAACATGTGACTAATGACACAGGCCATCGACAAGAGGCTTTCAACCAAAGCAAGATGAAATGGCCCTCAATAACAGCCCTTTCCGATAGCAGTTTTCGTTATGTCGATGGTATTTCTCGCTTCACAAGATGCAACCTTCGTCTGGCACTAAATAGACGCGACATGACCACGATCAATCAAATCAGAAACTTCTCATCCCGATCGCCGCTCTCTTCTTCAGCAAGAAACCCCACTCGAAGAAGAAGACACTAACCTCCCCGCTACACTCACCACACCCAAAAATTATCGCCTCGGCTAAAAATTTGAGTGAAGAAAAATTCGCAACATCAACAAAAATTGCAAAAAATCACCAAAAAAGAAATTTGAACATGAGATTCTAGGAATTCTGTGTGAATGAACTCTCTGACGGGGAGTCGAACCCCGGTCTCCTTAGCACTTTCGGGGTTCCGAAGGGAACTCCCGCAAGCGAACCCTCGCGGAACGCGAGGTTCGCTGAAGGGAGTTGCCTGAGGAGCCGCGAAAGTGCTTACTAAGTGTAAAGTCATGTGCAACCGTGCATCAAATCAAATCATGATTAGTCATCACTAGATTGATGACACACAACATTCTCGATGGGAAGACATCTCAAAAACTCTTTTCCAACGAACAAGAATGATAAAGCACAGAATCATATCAAAAACCAACATTGAATCAACATCGTCAAACATTAATCAACTACATCACCCCCAGAATCATAATCCCACAATCTCATTAACTTACCATCGCGATTTTCATCGCTTCACCTTCCAAATTGAAACATTTTTTCTGCACAGAGCCTTCAATTTTGAGTTATTCTGTTTGAAGTCCCAAAGCCGTATGCTGAAAACACCATTTACCAGAAGAGTCAGTCCATAGGTAAAGTAGTTATATTATCAAAACTCTGGTATTGCTAAACATTATTTACCCACAGCCTGATTACACTTGATAACGTTCGAGGTGCGCAGCATCGCATATGCGCACATCAAGAATTATCACCTCTCTCCTCCCCTCGTGGTTCTTTCCACGTCGCACATCAAGGCTGCGTCTTTGCTCTTTATTTCCCGACCCCCACAATCGTCCTCCTCGCTCCCAGATGAATGATTCCAATCAGCCGCGGCAAACCCGTTATATATAGTGTTCGACCTCGTATGCCACTCACTGCGCCATCCTCTCGGATTACAGGCTCGAAATATCAAAATACACTTCCCATAACACAACAGCATATAAGAAGCCGAACACTCGTTGATAAACAGTCTACACTCATCGCCATGATCATTTACAATACCGCAGTCGAACCATCTTCCACAACGACCGAAGACTCGTCGAAGCACACCCGTCGCAATACGCAATACCGCTTACACATCAGCCAAGGAACATTTCTTCTCATCATCGTCATATGAAATACAAGGGAGATGAATAAAACATATGAAGCATAATCTGTGAGATGTTCATAGAACGCACGCATTCAGGGGACGTAGGGAGAAGCACAGAAGTTGATAGCTAGACGTTCTCAACATCAAATCCGTCTCAGTACATTACAGGAAGGTTACATATTCATTTCTGCAGAAGTGCTGCGTGTTTACTCTCACCCATAGGACTAGGAACCTTCTATTTTTAAGGAAATCTTAGAGAGAGAGAGAAGCATGTTACTATTGCTACTTTCATAACAAAAATATCATATCTAAGTCCTTGATACAGTTTTCTCTTCCATTTTCTCTTCCATTTTCTCTTCCATTTTCTCTTCCATTTTCTCTTCCATTTTCTCTTCCATTTTCTCTTCCATTTTCTCTTCCATTTTCTCTTCCATTTTCTCTTCCATTTTCTCTTCCATTTTCTCTTCCATTTTCTCTTCCATACCAGCAAGCGATAGTGAAAGTGCTTGGCTATATAGTTCTGACTGCAGAAGATATCATGATAATATGATGGGTTGACTATCTGTATTGATTGACAGGTCATTCAAACGGCCATCGCTATTCTCAGAATTTCTTATTTAATGTATTTTATTAATACAATGTTATTCCTTTATTACTATTCCAATTATTTGGATATATCAATCAATCAGTTGCATATTTTGCAAAGTATTACTTCGTTCTTTGGTGTAGAATGTATGGGAACATTACAAATCTAGGTAATTTGTTAGCGAATTCGATTTTAAAAGGGGTCGACCTGTTGAAACCTACCGGCTGCAAGATTATGTTCTTTTCCATACAAATTATATGCGGGAATACACGACCTTCCAGACGTTGGAATTTCCTTGCCGTGTTCACCAAATAGCACCTTGCCCTTTCTGACATCCTTCGGACATCTATTTGCATTTTCAAGTATTGAAATATAGAACAAGTCTTCTTAATTGAATCACCATTTCTATGAACTCAATCATCAAAGTTTCTGAATTTCGATATATAGAGAGACTTCCGGGCTTCTGAAGGTTCTCAAATGGTAAACCTCGCTGTCGCCAATATGCTTTGGCCCAGATATGCAACAAAACTTTGAAATTACAATATACTCTAGCTTAGATATGCAACAAAACTTTTGAAGTAACAATTAGCTTCTATTTTCCCCTCTTTTCATATACAATAATTCACTTTATCTTACACTTTATCTTGAGAAGTTCTTTTCTCTTTTTCTCTTCTTTACAACCTTTCAAAATATACAATCTCCTTTCAAATACTCAGCTCGATATCCATCCATCCTTTACTCATTAGTTATCAAGGTGAGATGAAAGCCATACCATGGTTCAAACATGGTTCAATCGTATTTCGCAAGATACATTACTAAGATGGTGTTTTTTTAGATGGCGCAGCCACCTTTACCAATCCCTGATCTTAACGGGGCGGCGCAAGCAATTGTAGCCATACTCGCGGCCCTAATTCAACCGCATCCAATGCAAAACCAACCTCCTGGTGGACAGAACGATCCGGCTCAAGCCGAAAACGATCGACTTGATAATCTCAGATGTAAGTGTATTCTTTTATATGATTGATTTGACTTTTTGATAAATAATCAATATACTTATTAAAACTATAGAAATGATTAATCCTCCGAACGAAGTCGTTCCAAATCGGCAGGATCAGATCCTAGTTGGGATCAATGCACACCGAGGTCTATTACCAGCAGACTATCAAAGACTGAACGTAGCACAGATTATTGGTACCCAAAATCAGCTTACTCAAGGCGATCGGGATCAATTAATGGACTTACTTCTCAAACAATTTTCTGAGCACCACGGCATAGACGAGATACCAGATAACGATTGGAAAGAGAAGTGGTATAAGTCTCTCTTCAATGGAAATTGGAACAGTACAATCAAACCGACTAGACCCCAGCTCTTGAGGAGACAGGGCGTTGAGTCTGCCATTGTTGCAGGAACTCTCCGTGTATGTATCTCGCCCGCTCTGATACCACGGTTCGACCACGGCTCAGAACCATGGTTCTGAACCATGGTTCAAGACCATGATTCCAAATAGCTAATATAACACTGATCTAGGTGGACTGTCCCCCGCCTTCCACGAGTACGAAACGAAGTCGAGCCGAATATGAAGAACAGGAGATTGAGGCGCCAATTGACGAGAATGTTGCTCCTATTCCTATTCATCGACGTCGTGGCGCTACGGTTCTTATGCGCGTTAACGCAAGTCTGTTGACCATTAGAATCATGTTTCTGGATAGCAAATCCCGTCTTATTCCGGAAAGTTGTGTTATTCTAAAGGCACCTATTGAGAATGTTATTGCTGAAGCAATGGTTCATTTCGATACAAACGAACAGACTCGGATTTCTCTATTTAATCGCCAATTCTTATATTATCAGGCCAGATGCAGATTACATCATTGGTTGCATGTTGGCCGGAGACATGAGAATGTTCCCAACGAGACTGCTTTTGTTCTACAAAAGCCGAAGAACATTCTATTATTTCAGCAGCGATTGGCCGCTGAGCTCCACAATCGCTTGGGAGAGATTGTGCAGAATGGACGAGGTTTGGCGGATGAATTTGGCGAAGGGGAAATTAATAACGCGAGATGACAAGGTTCCTATTATTATTATTATTTTCTATATTTTTTTTTTTTTCATTTTTCCTTTCATTTACATTTTTCCTTTCATTTACATCATTCCTTTTTTTAATCTCTATTTGTCGTTTTTACTCATTTTTACTTTTTTATCTTTCCTATCTTTTATTATTATTTTACATTTCCACGAGGGTTTTATTAACATACGAGCGCTGCATAAAAGGGGGTTTTCATAGCGACGAATCATTAGTTAGTTAAATATTTGCTTATGTATAAGGTTTACCGGTTTTCCTTATACTACCTCTTTCGGAGGTACCAAATGGGTAACGCTTCATCCGGGGAAAAAATGCAATCAAGATAATTGTTCTTGGCATAAAGTATTCGCCTGATTGTGATTATGCAGCTATGTTGTGATAAGAAGCTATATACAAAGCAAAGCCTAGTGATGCCATTAAATCTTAGTTTGAACCATGGTTCGTCCATGGTTGTACCATGCTCATTCTTTAATCTTCAGCGTACTCCTCCTCCTACTCCTGCTTTTTAAACCAATGCCCCAACTCGTGATCATTCGGTCCTCGTTGCATTAGTGGATTCCTAGCCTGGCTTGCAGACCATGCATCATGATCAACTTTGGGAGCGTTTAGTAAAGCTCTTGGAATATGGCCCATTTGGGAATCTGTAGTAAGTTTTGGGATTTCTATTGGTCCCCCAAAGAGGACAGGTACTCCATTTTTTGTTTCGAGCACTCTCGGGTCTTTAAGTACTGTATAGCCTGATTCTGCTTCTGGTCTCAAAACACCAATGTCCGCCTTTTTCTTATGAGACTTTTTGACCGGTTTGTTCTCCATGTCAGACTTCCTCTTCTTGGAATCTGGTTCATCCCCAAAAAAATCTGGTTCTAACCAGCCGTCTCTACGGATGGCTCTTGCATGAGTATCATTAATGCTGGATCTTGCAGCTGCAATGATATGTAATTTGAGCGCATGATGATCGGCATAAACAAAGTCTTTCTTTGGGCACTCCTCATAGTTACATTTCACTTTCTTTCCTTCAGGGGGATAAATTGCTTTGATTGTGCGGATCCATTGCCAATTTCCGCTGTGAAACAAGCCAGTCTGATGTTTGGATAGTTTTGATTGTGATGCCCATAATTTTCCCTTTTCTTCTTCGCTTGTAGTAGGATCGGTTTCACACAAACGACATGTAGAACCTCTTTCGGTTCTGCTCCCAACCTGCGCGGTAATGGTTGGTGCTTCAGTATCCAACAGCCACTCGAGGAATACTTTCACAGTCAAAGAATATGTGATTCCTGACACTTTCTCTTTTGGTGACTCATCGATGCTCACGGTAGCAGAAATTATCCCCTCGCTATTTGAAGTCCGTCGCACATTTCCTGGGACAACCGTGGTTGAACCGTGGCCATCCTCGCATAATTCGTTTTCTTCATCTGGAAATGCCAGACCCAGGGCATCACCAACATCGTTATATGTATCCTCGACATTCATATCAATATCCTCATCTTCTATGTCTTCCGTAATAGTAATATCGCGTGCTCGCGTAAGGAGCTCCGTATATAGTGCTGAGTTTTTTCTCAAATCTTTGACGCGCTCTTGATATTCAGTCAAAGTGATTGCTGTCTTCTCAGTTCTTTGTTGCTCACGCATAGATAGACGACCCCGGTATCTCGCATTCTTAGCGGCGCGCTTTTTCTCGGCAGAGTTTTCTGCTAGTTGATATGCTCTGTCCTGTGCCACAATCGCTTGCAAAAAGTTCTTTTCTTCAGCCGGTGTCCAAGAATATTGAATTCGGTATAAGACAGGATGTGACGAGTCTTGAATACGTCTTTGCTTTTCCCCATGTACAATAGCTGATACATCAACATTGATGGTTGGGTCATCGTAGTGGTCTTCGAAGGTAACTGAATCTGGCCTGTGGGCAAGAAGCGCCCTAACGGTGCTTCGTTCAACTGTCTGATCCAAAACCGTGGCAAAACCACGGCGCCAAGCATACATTGTGACAGATTCCGGGTAACCAGCTGCTATAGCTCTACGTTTAAAGAATGCACTGATGCCATCTGTAGAGGCGGGGCGCCCACTTGGATCTAGTCCTCTGCCGCCAGGGAGTCCAGCAATGAACACCGGGCTGTCCAAAAACTCTGGTCTGATGGCGATGGTCAAGAATTCTTTTTCTGCTGGGGGATACAACAGTTGATCGATGGATTCTATATCAATGATGCCCCTTCTCATCATAATACCCAGTGCTCTCAAAGCTGGCGACAGAGCAATGTTTTCGGGGTTTTGTATGTGGTCTACTGTCATTCGTAAAACAGGGTGTTCTGCTCCTGTACTCGCATCTTCCTCACGATTCGTTTTTAAAAACGGGAAGGTGATTACCATATTGAATTTTCCCGCATACGATATACGCGTCTCGTCATCAGCACGTTCCAACTCTAATATTGAATTAGCTTTGATGGTACAGAAACCGTGGTACAACCATGGTACGAAGGCTCGTCTCCTACCGTCGAGTGTTTTGAAAGCCCTGGTTATAACAATGTCTCGCCATCTCAAGAATTGACCCTTCCTGGTAGAAAGCTCGCCAAGTGAACATGGCCTGATACCACAACAGCACCCTAAGCACCAGGCAAGTTCATGCTGTTCACTTAGTTCTCGGGAAATAGAATTAAAGGACTCCCAGTCCAATAATTGTTTTAACTCGTAACGGCCGAAGAACACTTTAGTACAATTTTCAGCCCCCCAGATCCGCCCCTTCCAAAGAGTTTTCGCTGCAAGGTGAATTCCTTTTGTGATTTCTCTATTGAATCTCCGTGTAAAAAGAGGTTCCTTACGCTTCTCCAGTATCCATTTCTCTAAATGTGTTCTACGCTGAGTTGCTCCACTGAGTTTTGGGCGGGTATCCGTTAACTTTCTGGGCACAGCTTTCTTCATCCACATTTGAATATAAAAAATGATGTCGTGTAGCAAAGTCTCGGGGTCTTCATTGAAAAGAATCTCGTCGAACTTTGGATCGTTTGTATCAATAATGGATAACTTCCTTCCCATCATTCGATATCGAAAGATCATATCTCTCTTGAATTCTTGCAAGACTCTATCTTCTTTCGCTATAGTGCTTGGCGCACCTACAAGAAAAACCACGGTTAGACCACGGCTGACTAGGTACTAATTGCTCTAAAGGTACACACCTAATCGATGCGTTGATGCTGCAAGAGTCAAATTATTGATCATCTCATACTCTGCCTCCTCCTCTGCGGTGAAATCCCGGATCACATAGTTGCCTCTTTCGTCTGCCCACACTCCATCGATCCGCTGATTAATGCGAAGTGGTGGTAGAGAGTCCGGTTTTGGTACTATCAATGGCATTGTGACAATTAAAGGATTCAGGGAAACTGGACGTCACTGAGGTATCAGGGGGTTTTGAGAGGGTGGTGAAGGGAGAGGGTAGAGGGGAAACATGGAGAACCAAAATCTGGGGTTAACAGCTGTCGGCGCCCACCCCCCAAACCCCGTTCCTTCCCCAATTGGGGACTGGCAAATTGAGAGCGTGATTAGATTACGCCCTTTCAGTATTTCTATAGATGCATAGATGCTTAGATGCACAAATGTATAAATGCATGAGAAATTTTCATGTACTCAATCTCCAATATCTATGAACAAAATATGCAAGCTTGGCCTCAAAAGTACTAGCTCAAGGCACCCTTCAATTCCAAGTATATAGAAATAAAACATCTTGTGAAATGTACTGAACTTAGTACGCATCCCACAGAATCATTCCTCTCCTAGTTGAACATTACCTCCAACAATAAAACGAAATTCGATTGTCCCTACAAAATGTCTGCTCCAGATCAAGACCGCTCGGAAATCGCGATGAACCAAGTCACTTCCACCAGAAATGATGCGAACTCTGCGCCATTTGATATCACAAACCTCACTTCCATGGAAGGCTGGGTGTCTTACCCATATGGTATCCATGGGCATGTAGCAGACACTTTGCAAGCAAGAACCGAATTGTTGGGAAGAGCTTTGGAAACCATAGCTAGCCAGCAAAATGAAATTCTGGGATTGTAAGTATGAACCTGAAAGTTGGCTTTCAGATTAACCATGATTCAACCATGGTTCGCTTACTAATGTCTCCAATAGACTTCGAGCAGATAACCTTACTACCAAAAAGCGAGCCAGCCCTGGTGAGGGTAAACGCCATCAAGATAATAAAGATACCAAGAGATTTAAGAGTGCTGGAAAGATATCGAGTCTTGGAAATCTTGGATTCGATGAAAAAGAAATTAAGGAAATTGTAAGATTGACAAAGAAATTTGTTAAAAAAGGTGGAAAGATGTTAACTCGAAGAACATCAACCTCAAATAATGGATCATTACTTTGGTTCAATTTTCTACAAAAGTTATTGAAAAAGAATGAAACTTTCAATTCGATTAATGATAAAGAAAATCTCTATTTAGAGATTGGAAAATTGGTTAAATCTCAAGGGGAAGAGGAAGAGGGAGAGGGAGAGGGAGAGGGAGAGGGAGAGGGAGAGGGAGAGGGAGAGGGAGAGGGAGAGGGAGAGGGAGAGGGAGAGGGAGAGGGAGAGGGAGAGGGAGAGGGAGAGGGAGAGGGAGAGGGAGAGGGAGAGGGAGAGGGAGAGGGAGAGGGAGAGGGAGAGGGAGAGGGAGAGGGAGAGGGAGAGGCGTGATGCTTTGCCTTAAAAGAACTGCGAGAACAAAGTACACATTATCCTTAGAATCTATAATTAGAGAAATAGATACAAAATGCTTATTGAATATATCTATATATTAGTTAATATATATAATTATATATATATATATGCTAATGTATATAAGCAATTATAATTATAAATATTGCTATCAAGCAAAAATCATGACCATAGATCATTAAAGATATTGTATTATTATTGAAACTATAAAGGAGTTTTAAATATATATTATAATAATATTTGTAAATAAAGATAAAGGGGGATTTGGTAAGCAAATATAGAAAATTGGAATTAAGATTTTAAATCTAATATTTAAATAATAGTATTGATATATCTAGGTATTAAGTTTCAAATCAAATTATCTAATATTATTATTAAATATAGCTTTGTCTTTATACAAAATATTGATTTGATTCTATATAGTTTATATTATTACTACAATTTCTTAAACTGAAATTAATAATAAATTAATCATAAATATATTTAAGTTATTTAAGTATAAATTTGTATAAATATTTATAAATTGTAATTTCAATATATAAAAAACATTCATTCCAAAATATATCCAAAAAACAAAAAAAAATAAAACTATATTAAAATAATTTAAATTCTATAAAACAATCTTATACTAAAACTAACTATTAAATATCGAAATACAATCCTAAAGAGTGTTTGAAGACGCGATGCGTAAATACCTAGAAGGAAATAAGGTCTTTTTAGATCCGTTATATACTAGTTGTACAACCGGTATATATAGGATTAAATGATTACAACTGATTTAATAAAAAGCTTACAAGTAGTAGATGAAATGCTGTAACGAATGTAATGGATTCTACGGATACAATGGATTCTACAGATGTGAAATGGATACAATTCTTAAAACTCTAAATGCTGATTAATATATGGAATTGAAGTTATTCAGAATACGTTTATTCTATAGGGAGTTGAATCAATTATCAATTGTGTATCAACCATTACACCCCCCCCCCCCCCCCCCTGTACCTCGTGTGACGCCACCAAAGTGAACTTCAGTTAATTCGAATTATTCTGAATTCAAAAATCTGAATTGCATTGATTCTGAAGCTCTACAACGATAGCGAGTAAGCGCTATTAGCTTGGTATAACTTTTATGTATTGCTCCTATCAATATTGCACGATAATTGGCTAGGAGGAGGAGAGAAAGTATAACACTTTTGTTAATTAATTCAAAGCTATTGAATATAACTAAATTCAACCTTAAAACTAAAACAGATCGATTTAATCCCTGCAATCGTTCTTATTCTTCAACCACTTCGAATTTTAAATCTATTATTAACTTTAACCAGATTAAATTATTCTAGATTAGAAGGCTATAATAGCTTTGAATTTATATCTATTATACATCCGTTTCAATAATTGTATTCGTTGTGTATTAGATTCTATAATACAGGGGTATTGTAACCACCATACATACCCCCCATTTCCTATACGATAAACCATTAACAAGCGGAAATCATGACCGTTAGATTATCAAGGATATTATATTATTATTGAAATCATAAAAGAGTTTTAAGTATATATTATAATAATATTTATAGATGGAGATAAAGGGGGATTTAATAAGCAAATATAGGAAATTGAAATCAAGATTCTAAATCTAGTATTTAGATAATAATATTGGTATATCTAGGTATTAAGCTTCAAATCAAATCATCTGATATTATTATTAAATACAATTTTGCCTTTATATAAAATATAGAAATTCAAAATATTGATTTAATTCTATATAGTTTGTACTATTATTATAATTTTTTAAACTGAAATTGATAATAGGTTAATTATAAATATACTCAAATTATTTAAATATAAGTCTATATAGATATTTACAAATTATGATTTGAATATACAAAAAATACTTATTTCAAAAACCATTGACAAGCGGAAATCATGACCGTTAGACCATCAAAGATGTTGTGTTATTGGTGGAGACGAGGCTGAAGTTTAGGAATATATTGCAAAAGTTGAAGTGGGTTTGAACAAGGGTCTCAGGGTAAAGGGCAGATAGTAGAACGCAATGAATAACATAAAATAACAATCATGATCAATTCTGTATTTATGATTTGTAGATCTAACAATCATCATATTCGAATTATTTCCTCTGATTTTTTCTGGTCAAAATCTTTCATCTTGTCACGGTGTGAATACACGTGACCGATGAGTGGGTAAGCTAGGCCCTATTGGGCTAGCTTACATGTGAAAATTCTGTATATCTTCACTATGGAAGATCCTGTATCGTAGCTCTTCGAGCTCCGTCTTAGTCTACACCCTGTACCTACCATTATTAGCACTGTTTATTATATACTCCTGACCCCGTTTGCCGCCCCATGATACATCTTCCACTGTTCATACCTCATATATCGGTTACGCAAATTATCATTAAGAGTGTTTTTTTAGATGGCGCAGCCACCTTTACAAATGCCTGATCTTAACGGGGCTGCACAAGACAAACCATCGTAGCCATACTCGCGGCCCTGATTCAACCGCCCCCAATGCAAAACGTACCTCCTGGCGGGCCGAACGATCCGGGTCAAGCCGAAAATGACCGCCTCCATAATTTAAGACGCAAGTGTACTGTATTCTTTTATATGATTGATTTGACTTTTTGATAAATAATCAATATGCTTATTAAAACTATAGAGATGATAAATCCTCCGAACAAGGTTATCCCAAACCAATAGGATTAGATTCCAGCCAGCATCAACACGTACAGAGACCTCATACCAGCAGGTTATCAAAGACTAAATGTGGCACAAATTATCAATACGCATATTGTGAGGGCGCACGTACCCTCTGGGCACGTGACCGGTTACACTAGCCGTTTTAGCTAGCTTTTCAAGTATAAGTTGGAAGCTTCGCTTCCAACTTCCTTCTAGCTCTTTATCAATAACTACACTATTCAAATGACAACTCTTCTTTCGTTTCCAGATTCCTCACACACATTCAGCTAACTCAAGGCGACCGGGACCAACTAACGGATTTACTTTTAAAACAATATTCAGAACATCATGGTATAGACGAAGTGCCAAACAACGATTGGAAAGAGAAGTGGTTTGATAGGAAGAGAAAGAGGAAGAGGGAGGAGGAGAGGCGGGAGGAGAAGGCGGGAGGAGAAGGCGGGAGGAGAAGGCGGGAGGAGAAGGCGGGAGGAGAAGGCGAGCGAAGAGGGCGAGCGAAGAGACAGAGGGAGGGCGAAGAAGAGGAAGAGGAAAAGGAAAGATATATTAGATCTTCAATAGAATCTGATATATAATTGATGATATAAACAATGGGATGGTGATATATCGATTCTTTTACTAGATAAAGCATTGAACTTATTTTTCTTTAGTTTTGTATTTAGATGACAGCATCAGGCTTCAAACCAAACTATAATAAACAAATCCTGAGAACTTCTGGTATCATTTGAGGTATGCTCATTACCGAATATGGCTTCACCTTTGAACATGTCGTGGGAAGTCAAGATGCTGAACAGTACTATGTGAAGGGATTTCCAAAGCCATAGTTGATTCACCATCTTATCAACAGGGAGCCCCCCGGGGTACATTTCCTTCCTCCTCTCAATTGACATAGTTGCGCCAATCATGAAGTTCCTTGAATCCCAATACTTCTCTGATCTTTCTATTGCTCAACGGTGCTTCCCTCTCTCCCAACTTTCTTGTGGCCTTCGTTCCTGGACAAACTCTCTTCAAAAAGTCTTCTGTCTTTTCTTCCCCAGGTATTGTAATACCATCATTTGTGGCATTGAAGACTTGAAACCCTAGGCCATTTTTCTTGATCGCCAAATCACAAATTTGACCCAAATCCCTTGCATCAATATAACTCCATGCATTTCGTTTCCTACACATAGGATCTTCCATGAAACCTGGAAAGTCTCTTTTATACTCATGTGGTTCAATCACATTCCCAATTCTTAACGCGTATATATCTGACTTGAACCGTTTCGCAAATGTACGAGCAGTCTTCTCGCCACATATCTTGGATAGAGCATAAGAATCTTCGGGCTCAACATCATAGTTTTCCTCCAGAGGAAAGGAATGATAATCGGTATCTCCTTGTGCGAAACATACTCCATACACGGTTTCGGAGCTAGCGATTATGACCTTCTTCACACCAAGTTTGCTGGCTGCTTCAATGACGTTGTATGTGCTACGAGTGTTGGCTTGAAAGAGTTCGCTGTCAGGTACAAGCATGTTTCGGGCATAGGCTGGTGCTGGTTAGAATTATACGGACGATGAGGGAGGATGGAGAGTCGTACCAGCAAAATGTATGACCACATCTGGAGGACCGGGCACTGGTCCTTCATTGTATCCGGACATGTTAAAATGGGATGTGAAGGCATTGAAAACTTGGCCTGAATCTGTGAGGTCCGTTTTGAGTGTATATACATCAACAGATGAATCGGGAAATGGAATTAGGTCAAGATTTAAGACCTTATGTCCTTTGGAAAGTAAATAAGGGATAACATGGCGCCCTGCTTTGCCACTACCTCCTGTGAAGACCTATATAGTGTCAATCAACAGTTTAGCGACATGATTATTGGCAACTTACTATCCTCTTACCACCCTCGACTGTTGGTATGGTATTGTTAGACATGGTCGTTCTTTGATGTACTTGTGTAAACTTGAGAGATTCATCTTGAACTGCTACAATGTATATTGCAGGTGAATTTCCAAAACTTCCCTTATCCAAGCCCGCTCGATAAGAAATGGTGACGTCAGTAAATGGTATAGTTCATCGGCGCGGGTGAAGACCCGCCGAATGTGGAGAGAATGAAAGGAACCTTGGAATCCTACGATATTCAGGAACGGCTCAAAGTTAGCGAAGCCGATGAAGCATCTAGACCTTCTACCCGAGCTACCCTCTTTCTCAAGTATTCGTTAGCTAGCCAGATCATGTGATTATATTTGAATTCCACCGCGAATCTCTAATGAGTGCATCTCTCCGTTTATTCTAATTTGATTCGAAGAATCTGATTCTTTAAACAGAGACGACGAGAAGTTCGAAAGAGTTCACCCGATCCTGAAACAAGCTCATGCGAAGCTATCGAATGGTTTGGTGGCGACTTTCAATTATTGTTAATTTTCGATATCTTACAAAGTATGTACAGTTCCGATATCATGTGATTCACATGCATTCTCGTCTAACCTATTTACAACAAGTTTGCAGCCTTGTTTGTGAGGAGGTTGCCACTTTTGATGAACAACGTGAAAATCTGTCCAATTCCGAATAGCCAAACCAAGCTTCTTGCTGCTGCTGCCCCTTGACTCTCATTGTTTATATAGATGAAATTATAAACCACGCGACTGATTAAATATCCTCCAGTAAGGGTATTCAATGTTGAGTGGGAAAGTCCTGCGACATTTCCAGCAACCACCGCAGAAGCAAAAAGACCGACATTTTCGTAGCCATTGGCTCCGGCGGCGTGGGCTCGGCTAATTTGGTTCTTTTTCTGGGAAGATGTTAGTTTTCTATTCAACGAGGGAGAAGTGTCGGCTAGGGGAACATGCAGCCTTATCGAGCCTTTGATCAGCTTCGAGACTCTTTGGGAAGTCTCTGGGGGAGCGATTATCAAAGCATTCAGTCGAGACTGCAGCGTACACATGAGGGATGTGAGCCAGGAGCCATGCCGCGGGAACCTGTACAGATGTGAGCAATTACCAATGATCGATTCGGAGCTGGTATTCTTACACCGAATAGAGAATAGTTGCGAGTTGTATCGAGGAGGGCAGACATTTTCTATAATTTATGTTTGTTTATGGTATGTCAATATGAAGCCGACTTACGATTGCATTGTGAAGAGAGGTTGTTAACAATGGCCCAATTGCTAGCAGTCTATGAGATCATAAAGATCTAAGGGTCAATTCCAAATAGTTCCGTGTTCTAGACGTCATTATTGATGATCACTTGGAAGGAGCTAAGGATAGCCGTTGACTGATCTTAGCGTACTTCGGCACTAGATCCTTAAGCTAAAGGTTAGTCTCCCGGGAAAGGGGGCAAGTGTTTCTTAGTGCTACCGAAGCTGATTGAATGAATCCATGCATGCGCATTTGGAGATTTTGCACAAAAATGGGAAAGTATCTTGTTTATTCTCAGTAACCCTGATACTTTGGATTTATTGTTGACTTGACAAGGTTACCGAACTAACAGCGATCAATTGACTTATTCTGCTACTTGACTCCTGCTCACAGCAGAGGAAGGTGCTAGCCTGAATATGCATATAATGTATTATAAGTTCGACGCCAGGGCCCTAAGGGGTATGGCTGGTCCAATGGTAACCATGTTCATTACAATAAAATCCATTTTTCTGCAGCTATAAACGAAGAACATTTCGCATATTGCGGAGACCTATCTGAATCGATAGTGATGTCGAGTGTTGAAGTCACGCCGCTCTATAACGGACCCTGTTCCAGTTCCATGCTCGACTACAGAAACCTATTTTAATCAGCTTACTCAAGCAAAACTAAAGATATGGAATATAAACTTACAAACAATGTTACCACACCCTATGTCTTCCTTATCAACAATGGTGGGTGCCTTACACTGTGGACACAATTTTGTCTTGCGCCTAATCAGAGCGGCTGACTTTGAGATACTTCTGTCATTGTAGTTCTGCGGACAGATCATCCCCTCATGCCACGGTGTCTGACATGAAAAACACATTTCAAATTCGCATGCATGACATGCGATTTTGAGGTTCTTGGTGCTATCGTTGTGGACTTGACCATCGCTACATCCACTAGGGTTCAAGCACCATCGAAAGTTCGGCAGGTTGCGGATCTCTAGCTTATCGATGTACTTGTTATAACTGTTCTACGGTTAGCTTGCAACATGGCTGCTAAAATTCCAAGAATGCATACCTCTCAAGTAGCCGTCCTTTGAGGCACTTCCTGACAATACTTGAATCCAACAACCTTTCACAATTGGAGTATGGACAACGTATGGTGTCCCAGGGGTTGCTCTCTACATTTGCCACAACAGCCTGTTCCAGACATGACGTACACATATGTGCCTTGTGTTCGCATTTGCTTGCGAGATCTTGTTGAGGAAAGCTTTCCGGGGGTAAAGCTCGCAAACAAACTTCACAATCCGTGCCCTCTTCTACTCCCGTAAGCTCTCCATCCACGTCTTGATCATGGGGTCCTGCTTTCACGGCAGCTCTAGTGATGGGTATATTGAGACGAAGAAGTTGAGCTACAGCATCTCTCACTTTGTCTGTTCGAGTTTGTTCAACACGCGCGAGCTTATGTAGGAGGCTACTTCGTGGTTCGCGCTGTCTGAAAGTGCTTTGTTGATAGAATATGGAGAGTATACGTTTTATGAGCGGGATGTTGTAGGCTGAGAGGGGTTGAGAAAAGACAGTTTTAGGGAGCGGAACATCCTTTGCCGACGTGCCTTTTGCAGTTTTGCCAGGCATATTGTTTCTGTGATATTGCCTGTTGCTCTCGTTGTTGAATTGCTTGCAAGTGGGTTGAAAGCTTCGATTGTTCTATGAGTTACACTTTATTTTAAATCGGGAATTTTATGTGTTGTCTGGAGGAGCCTGTTGAGGAATCATGGATCATCCGCAACCTTCGATTTGATCCCCTCTAGATTATTCTCCAGCTGGGAGGATAACCCATAGGCACCAAAGTCATGCATCTGAATCCAGGTCTTGGGATTCGTATCAAGCCTTGGTGATTCCGATGTGTTCTTTCTGCTGTCAACACGCATACTATGAAATAGTCGTTGTCGTCGGATTGTATACACCACAAAGTGCAGGAAGTATTATTTTGATACTTACCTGAGACCAGAGGTCTCAGGAACTAATAGACTCATAAAGCTGGTCTTTCGTGGTTTCTGCTGGAACTATCAGCTGAACCGACCATTTTGCTATTCGGTCAAAATTTGTATTCATTCAAAGCTTACGTGCCTATTTCGCGAAAGTGGAATATCACAGTCAGGGATTTTTAATCATCACATAAACATATGCAAGCAAGCAGTCAGAGAACTCCGATGCAGAGGCTAGACGTTGACCGTCTGGAGTCCCGAAATTTGAAACAAATTCCACAAAGAAAGATACCTAGCCATGGAATGAAAAGGCAAGGGGAAATCTTACTGATATACATCGATGGAAGTAATCATAAGGCGAGTCACAATTTTGAAGCTCCTGGATCCTGATAGCGGGAATATTCTTATCCACCATAGATGTCCGAAGTTATTATAAGAGTTGAGGCCCTGGCTTATCGCATATCATCCTTTATTGTGACAAAATCT